TCTAAGTAGGATTTTGGCCATCCAGAAAGTAACATCAACAACTGACAAATGGGACCTCAGGAAACTAAAAGCTTTTGTGTAGCAAAGGAAACAGTTGATCGAATGAAGAGCCAGCTTATAGAATGAGAGAGAAATCTTTGCTAGTTGTATACCTTGACAGGATTAATATCTAGAATACACAACTCAAAAACTAAACAAGAAATCAACCCAGTAAATAGGCTAATGAAATGGATAGTTCTCAGATGGAATGCAAATGGCAATACATATATGAATATGTATTCAACCCCACAAGCAACCAGAGGGTTATAAACTGAAACTGTCAAGATTGCATCTCAAAAATATAGATGCATGAAGAACTGTATGGGAGGGTATTAAAAGAGAATAAGATGCCATCTCACCTCAGAACTGTATTCGTTAAAGAAAAATAGACATGGCTGAGGCTGTCGCTCAGTGTAGAGCACCTGCCCCTCAAACATTAGGTCCTGGGTTCAATCTCTAGCACTGTTAAGAGAATGAACACACAACAAAAAACGAATGTGGCAAAAATATGGGCAAAAGAGAACCCTGCACACTGCTGGTGGGGATGTAACCCAGTCCAGCCACTATGGTGACTGGGAAAAAGGTAGATCTGACCCAGGTAAACCACTCTTAGAGTTTATTTACCCAGAGGACTCTAAGTCACTGTATTGGAGATCCTTGCACATCAGTGATTATTGCAGCACAGGTCAAAATAACTAAGTTATGGAACAATGTAGTGTCCATTGACAGGACATTGGATAAAGAAAATGTACACACTGTAGGGAAAAGGGACTGGCTAAAGAAACCCACCCTGACCCTGGAGCCCAGAACTAGGGAAAGATGGCTCAGATAAGGCCAGTGAGAGAAACACAGTTTGGCTCAAATCAGAGCCATCTCTGCCCCTGGTCAACTGATTTATGAAACCAACCAATCACAGAGCAGGACAGTAGAACCCTGTCCCTGGAGCCCAAGACCAGGGAAAGCAACACAGCCTGGGTTTGGGACCTGAGCCAGAGAAATGAACACTTTATCCCCAAACCCAGAACCAAGGAAACATGCCCTGACTCTGTAACTAGTGCCAAAGAAACACCACTGGTCCCTAGAATCCGAGTCAGTGAAAGAAATGTGCCCTGGCTTTAGAGGTAGTGTCAAAAAGCCAAGAAAGGCCAGTGAAAGAAACACAGTTTGGCTCTGAAATCAGGGCCATCTCTGTCCCTAGCCCTCAAAACTGGCCAATCCCTGGGCAGAATAAAAACTAACCAATCACTGGTTGACTGCGCCCCTAAGACATCCTATATAAACTGCCCTGCCTGGTCCATTATGGGCTGTTCTCTCCACAATGGTAGAGGCAGCTACTCTCCTGGACTCCTCCTTCCCAAATAAATCTTTTTTTCAAAAGAGTTTTGGGTGTGAAGATCTTCATTCACTGGCTTAGAGAAGATCCTTGCTAAGACGTCCCTTAGTGGACAGAGCAAGGGAGAGCTAAAAGCTGAAAAAGTAACACTTCTCTCTGGAACCGGAGGAGACTGCTACATTTCTGCAGGGGTTTCCCCTTTTGCAGAGTGAAGCAAAAGAAGCAACATCTTAGACCAGAGAAGCAGAGTTCTGCTAGGAAGCCCCCTTAAGTGGGGGCTGAGCAAAGCTCAGCTGTAGCGGCTCTCCAGGAGAGGAGCAGGATTGCTATATCCTGTGGGGAGGCCATTCCGCATCACACCAGGCTACACCCTTCCCTGCTGAAGCAGTTCCAGGCCTGACTCCTCTCCCCAACAGTCAGAAAAACTTCCCCTCCAGGGCAGAGCTGCTCTATGTGGCTCGAGGTATCCGGGATACCTCGCCCTCCAGCTGTCAGTTGTTCTAAGCAGCCACCTCGCTCTCCAGGACTGCTGTCTCATCACAGCTCCGGCCGTTGCCTGACTCCCAAGTGGTGAGGATACCCCTTCCCAGAGTTGCAAAGCTCATGTTTTGGCGCCCAAATCCAGGACCTAGCCCACAGAGTTGCAACAAATTTACTTACACACACAGTGGATTTTTTTTCCAGCTATAAAAAAGAATTAAGTGGTCATTTGCAAGAAAATGGATGCAACTGGAGATGATCATATCAGGCAAATTAAAGCAGTTTCAGAAAAACAATGATTGCTCTTGTGATTCTTACATTTTTGTATAGATGCATAAAATCACAGACGTATACATGACATGGGAGGGGAGCAGTACTATCTAGAGCAGTGGTTCTCCACCTCCCTAACGCTGCGACCCTTTAATACAGCTCCTCATGTTGTGGGGACCTCCAACCATAACATTATTTTCGTTGCTACTTCATAACTGTAATTTTGCAACTGTTATGAATCGTAATGTAAACATCTAATATTCAACCCCCTAATGGAGGTGGGAAGGGGCAACAAAGGGGCCGTTAAAGAGGTGTGGGGGAATATGGCTGACATGCAAAGACAGGTGCATGAAGTTGTATGTACCGCAGTACCTGTACAATGAATATACACAATGAAAAAAAGTTATACCAAGACTGAAAACAGAGGAATACTTTGAGGGGTGAAATTAATCCAAACTTTAAAAATAATTCTACTTTCCAAATATCTTACCTATTTTAGGGTTTATTTGTATATGTTTATGAAAATGAGCAGACAGTCAGAAACCTAATAGCCCATTCACCATGGCTTTCTTAGCACCATGTATGCGGATGGAGACAAGGAGGCCAGTAACCGGTGACTACATTTTCGAGTGCGTAGGGAACTAATGACAGGGATGGGGGAGCTAAGCTGAGGGCCTTCCTCAGCCAGAGCCATACTCTCACCCAGCTCTGCATCACTGCTGAAATACTTCGGGAGGGAGACAGGCCCGATTTCTGGTACTGCTGCTCCTGGGGTGGCGCATGCCTCCAGCACTCGGGAGGTGGAGGGAGGAGGACCAGGAACTCAGGTTTGAGGCCAGCTGGGCTGTTCAATGTCCTTGCCCAGTATCCTTCCTCCCACAAAGAGCCGATACCGCCAAGTGAGAGACGGGCAACGGAAGGCAGGGTTAACCAGTTACAGAAGAACACTTGCTGCAAACTGTTGGAAAGACCCAGTGTGAAAAGACAGGCTTGTGAGGAAAAATAAACAGCTATGCATGTGCCAGGAAAACTGAAAACTAAAACCCATGGCCCAGTGAGACGGCTCAGTGGCTAAGGGGGCTTGCCACCAAGGCTGACGACCCGAGTTCAATCCCTGGAACCCGCCACACAGTGGAAGGAGAGAATTGACTCCCACAAATTGTCCTGACCTCCACACACATGCAGTGTCACATGTACACACACACACATGCAGTGGCACATGTACACCTCCACACACATGCAGTGGCACATGTACACCCACACACATGCAGTGACACGTACACACACACATGAAGTGGCACATGTACACACACACATGCAGTGGCCCACGAGCACACACACATGCAGTGGCACACGTACATACACACACACACACACACACATGCAGTGGCACACGTACCCCCACACATGCTGTGGCACACGTACACCCACACACATGCATATATACATCCATAATAAAACAATAACACATAACTACTATAAAGTGCAGGTATGAAAAAAACCACTATGAGATTTGAACTCATAAAAGGCAGAAATGAGAGCTCTGAGGAGGAAGAAGAAATACGACCAAAATTGTGATCCAAATTATTACTGTGTGAGGGCAATTTTAAACCAAGTGTAGATTTAGAAAGATTATTCATAATTTAGCTTTTCTGAAAAAGCAATTACTTGAGGAAATTTCCCAACCATGCCAAATTAATGGAAACAAAGAAAAGCAAGGGCATATGCTGAAGAGAAAACAGTGGTGAATACTGAAATCTTACAGTTAATAACTTGTTGGCAATACGAGAAGCTAGTGTTACTAGTTAAGAACAAGAGAACAAGGTGGGAGCGGTGTACACCTTCAATCCCTTCATGGGGAGACTGAGGCAGGAGGATCGGGAGTTCATAGCCAGCCTGTGCTAAATAGTTCTAACTTGTTTCAACAACAGCAACAAAAAAAACCTCCACAAAATAAATCCACTGAAAACAACACAAACAAAACAAGCGACAGCGACAAACCCCACAAGAGATAAATTAAGTCAGGGACAGATTAAAAAAAAAAAAAAAATCTGCGGTTTTGAGTGACAGCGTTGTTTCCAACAACTTTAGCCGCCCCGCCCGCCCCCGCCGCGCCCCGCCCCCTGTCCCGCCCGCCCCACCCCCGCCTCTGTCCCGCCCACCCCACCGCGCCCCGCCCCCGCCGCGCCCCCTGTCCCGCCCACCCCGCCGCGCCCCGCCCCCGCCGCGCCCCCTGTCCCGCCCACCCCGCCGCGCCCCGCCCCCGCCGCGCCCCCTGTCCCGCCCGCCCCCGCCGCGCCCCGCCCCCTGTCCCGCCCGCCCCACCCCCGCCTCTGTCCCGCCCACCCCACCGCGCCCCGCCCCCGCCGCGCCCCCTGTCCCGCCCACCCCGCCGCGCCCCGCCCCCGCCGCGCCCCCTGTCCCGCCCACCCCGCCGCGCCCCGCCCCCGCCGCGCCCCGCCCCGTCCCCTGGACCGTCACAAATGTGCCGCTTCCCGTTTCCTTTCACTTTCTCCCATTTCTCTCATTCCTGGACTGCGCTAAGAATTCCAAATTCTGTTTATCATAAGCAAAACTAGTAGATTTCCCCCAATCTCCACATCCAAACTCCAGGGCTAGCTGTACGGATCTCACACCTGTCAAGGTCTTCACGAAAGAACCCTCTGAGGAAGTTTCATTGAACGGGACCCGTTCTTTCAAAACCAAGTTGCAGGCAACTTTTTCTTCTCTCATAGACTAAGTCCTTTCTCAGGCAAGCTCAATGCCTTTTTTTCTGTTTGAGACAGGGTCTCACTATGTAGCCCTGGCTGGCAGGGAACTCACTGTGTAGATGAGCTGCCTGCCCCTGCCTCCTGAAACACTTTTTTTTTTTTTAAAGACAAGAAAGGGCTCCACTATCCAGGCCAGACTGGCTGTGAACTTGGGACTCTCCTGCTTTGCTAGGGCTCTCAAGTGCATACAATCCTGTCCAAATCGGTTTCTCTGTGTGCCATCTGGCACGTAATGAGAGCTTCGGTCACGCCTTAGGTGCCATGTTAAATGCCTTTCCTCCAGAACCATACACAGTTCTGTATACATTGGCCATTGCTGCTTCCTCTGCACTTGAGAGGTAGGTACTGCCGTCTTGTTTTTACTCTGGGTCATTTAATGTCTGTTAATGGAGGATTTTTACTTTATCCGGTTTGATAGCGATTAATCATATGCCTAATACACTTATATGTTATTACTCTACCATTTTATGCATTATAAGTAATTCTCCTTTTCCTTATCTCCTCTTAGTTATCATGTCTTTGTTTTAGTGATTTACTATCTAAAAGATGAAATAATTATTTCTAAATGTTTTATTAGCATATCTCTGTATTAGTTACACAAAACGATGGTTTTTTACTGACAATTTCATACACATACATAATGTATCGAGATGTTAACTCTCCAGTACCTTCTGGTCCCCCTCCCATGCCTTAATGCCCTTCCTCTTCCCAACTAGCCCCGCTTCTGCTTTGATGACCCAATGAGTTTCACTTGGGTTGTGTACAGGGCCATGTGTAACTCACCAGTGTTTTCCTCCCCAGTCAATTGTTACCTGTGGAGAAACCCTTCGGATTTATAAGCTTCGACACTTCACTTCTAACCTTTGTTTTCCAGTTTGGGTTGAAATAATCTAATTTTTAGTGTAAGATTAAAATTACTGAGCATTTCATTTTTCCTGTTTTGAGTTTGTGGTAGTTTGAATGTCATTGGCCTCCATAAACTCACTGGGAGTGGCACTATTAGGAGGCGTGGCTTTGTTGGAGTAGGTGTGCCCTTGTTGGAGGAAGAGTGTCACTGTAGGGGTGGGCTTTGAGGTCTCCTGTGCTCAAGACATGCCCAGTGTTTCAGTTCACTTCCTATTGCCTGCAGATCAAGATGCAAAAACTCTCAGCTCCTTCTCCAACAGGATGTCTGCCTGCACACTGCCATGTTGCCCACTGTGATGATAATGGACTGAACCTCTGAACTGTAAGCCACCCAATTTAATGTTTTCCTTCCTAAGAGTTAACTGTGGTCATGGTTCTCTTCACAGCAATAGAAACCCTAACTAAGACGGAAGTATTTGGATTGAGATTCACAATTATTTACCTATTTATTCTTAAGAGTTCTGATTGTTCCAGCTGTTATCTATTTCTTTTAACTGATGCTGTGATGTGGCTGTGTCATGGTCTCTGGTTTCCCAGTGCTTTTTAAATGCCCCCAAGGAGATCCAGACAATCCGTGTCTTACAAATCTAGCCTCCTTCATAGAGACATCTTAAGTGTGTAACCTATCATCTGCCATTCACTCTCACTGAAGCAACACTTCAGTGGGGAGCAAGCAGCGTGAAATGAGTGCCACACCCCATTTTATGTTGGTGTCAGGAGCCCAGTGTTCAGGAGCAGCAGCTAGGTCCTCACTGTAGTACGTCTGTTCTGGAGACAATTTCTATTGTAGTTCTCAAGACTTCTTTTTCTAGCCCTCAGGTTCTGTGAGCTATCTGATATTCTAAACATACACCTTGTATGCTGGATCATTTGTCAGTTTGACACAGCTAAAGTCATCTGAGAGGAGGGAACCTCAACTGAGAAAATGCCTCCATCATCCATTGGGCTGTAGGTAAGCCTGTAGGGCATTTTATTAATTAATGATTGATAGGGGAGGGCCCAGCCCATTATGGGTGGGGCCATCTCTGGGTTGGTGGTTCTGGGTTCTATAAGAAATTAGGCTGAGCAAGCCAATAAACAGTACCCCTCCATAGCCTCTGCATCAGCGTTTTCAGATTCCTGCCCTCACTGCTTTGGATGATTACACTAGTACATAGAACTGTGAGTGAAATAAACCCTTTCCTTCCCATGTTGCTTTTTTTTTTTTTTTTTTTTTTTTTTTGAGACAGGGTTTCTCTGTGTAGCTTTGCGCCTATCCTGGATCTCGCTCTGTAGACCAGGCTGGCCTCGAACTCACAGAGATCCGCCTGGCTCTGCCTTCCCAGTGCTGGGACTAAAGGCGTGCGCCACCACCATCCGGCCCAAGTGCTTTTGGTCACAGTGTTTCATCACAGCAATAGTCACCCTACCTAAAGACAGCTTATCATTTAGAGGAGTTAAGAAAAACTCTAGAGAATCTCAAATGATAAAAGTACTTTAGACAAATGGAATGTGTTATTTTCTTCCCAGGGCCTCAAATATTGCTTCACTCTCTGTGGTAATCTTATCATTCAGTATTGTGGAAATGTGACAACATTCCACTTCTTTTGGCTATGACTCCTCTTCTTCCCTCTAGTTTTGAAATTAAGAATTCAGAGCCGGGCGGTGGCGGCGCACGCCTTTAATCCCAGCACTCGGGAGGCAGAGCCAGGCGGATCTCTGTGAGTTCGAGGCCAGCCTGGTCTCCAAAGCGAGTTCCAGGAAAGGCGCAAAGCTACACAGAGAAACCCTGTCTCGAAAAGCCAAAAAAAAAAAAAAAAGAATTCAGGCTGAGGCCAGGTGGTGGCGGCGCTTGCCTTTAATCCCAGCCTGGTCTACAGAGCAAGTTCGAGGACAACTGGGGCTGTTACACAGAGAAACCCTGTCTCGAGGGGAAAAAAAGAATTCAGGCTGAGTGTGGGTCCCTGGTAGAAGCACTTGCTTTGCACACTTGATTCTCCACCACTACCAAAGCCCCACTATGATGTGTTTGAGTGTGGCTTTGCAGGCTTCCAGTTACTTCAGGAATGGGGGCTGGTTTACAAACACCAAGTCAGGAAAAGAGAAGCAGGGTAACTAGCGGCCAGTGAGCGTCTCCTAATTGCTCTTTCCTGACTCGGTTCCCTTCTTCTTCCCTGGCTTCTTACACTGCCCCAAGCCAGTCACAGCAGTCAGCATTTGGTCTGCAGACACTCCGTGACAGCTCCCGCCAGCCAACACTTGTGTGTGTGGTGTAGATGCACATGGGTGGTCAGGCCTCTGCACACATGGGGGCCAGAGGAAGAGGTCCGAGTCCCACTCTACCACTCGGCATCAATCCCTTGAGACAGGGTCTCTCCCTGAACCTGGAGGTAGGCAGGCTGGGAGCCAGCATGTATCCCAGGTTGGCCTCCACCCCACAACTAAAGATGACCTTGAACTCCTCACCCTCTTACTTCCACCCCGCAAAATGCTAGAAGTGTGTGTTACCACACCAGGCCAGAAAATATGTGACTTTTATCTGAAATTGACGAGCCTAGTCAATTTAGTTTTTATCTAAGCCAGGCTATATAGATCTTCAGGTACAACCAGGATCAGAGAAAAAACTGGGTCGACAGTTCAATGGTTCATCAGTGGGATAAAGGGTTTAGGTCCCAAACGAATGTGTAAACGGGCAGGTAATGCTGGTGTTTCTTTCAACAGATGTCTCTTACTAGTGTTGCTTAGATTCAACGGCAACCTTTACTAGTATACATTAAGTATTTTTAATTAAAAATAACAATCAGGTAACTTCAAGAACAGAAATATAGAGAAAAATCATCCTGAATATCAGAGGAAAGAGTATATTTAGCACCAAGAACAGTATTACACATACAGAACACAGTTTGAAAGATGCATCCATGACCTAACAGAAAGCAGACCGTATTTTTATAGACCAGAGTTAGGAGAACAGCAGGAAAATGACCTGGGTTTACAGAAGTCACAGTTCAGATTTTCACATTACAAAGCAGTATTCTAAGTCAGCATGGGAGGGAAATAGGCTTACTAGAAAGTGAGAAAGAACACACACTCTATTTTAGCCTCCTCGACTCTTGAAAAGTTGTTTGGTAGATTTACTTATCTGACCATGCAAACCCGTCTTCAGCTTTAGGCAGTTTAATCCTTGCATTTCTGGGACTCTATTCTTTTCTTGGCTGCAAAGAAACCCTGGCAACTGTCTCCTGTTTTCAGCAACAAACTCATTTTTCAATTAACTGTGGTAAGACGATCCATTCTACACAATAAAGACAATTCTGACCGTACTCACAGGGCTGGTTGGTACCCACAGGGCCCATCTTTTATTTCATTATTTACCTCACTAGTGCCCTGGTAACCTGTAAAGTTTATTATCAATAACTTTAATATCACTTTTACTGTGCACTAACACACCGATTATTTCTCTTTCACCTACAACCAGTCTTCCCTCATCTCGAATTTCCCTTTTCATAGTCTCTTACTGCATATCCAAATTACATATTGTCAAGGCTCATTTTACAGGCGCCGTTTCAAAGGGGACACGAGCTGATCCTCAGATGCAGTGGGTGTGTTGAGAACTGTGTGTGCGTTAGTGCGGCAAGTTTACTCCCTACTGTGAGTTAACACAGGCTATGAAATTGGACAATTCAGTATTCATGCCAAGGAAGGTTAAGTCGGCAGATTAAAAGTCCAGCTGGTTTGGGCGTTAAGAGTTGTGCCGTGGCTATGAAGGACAGTAATTCTCCAAGTATGGCCCCCATACCGTAAGCCCAATATCACCCTAAACTCATTAGAGATGCAAATTCTTAATAGCCCTCTCCAGATCAACTCTATCAAACTGGGGTATGTGGCTCAGCTGTGATTTAACAAGTATTTCTGGTGATCCAAACACGCCTGTCTGAAAACTGCTACCTTTCGTTTTCTTTGCTGTGGTCCAAAGCTAAATAGGCTCCTGCCCTCTTACCTGCATCCTAACTAGTAACCAATCCTCAACACTGGGCTTAGCGTGCTGTCACAGAAGCAGAAGCTGGAGTACTTGGCTTCTACCAGTTAAGACATCACCCAGTGAGCTTCTCAAAGCAGAACTGAGGCAAACCTCTTTAGCCAGAGGGTCTCATGCAACAACTTCATCTTCCAGTGACAACACGGACCCTTCCCAGTGGGGCTGCCATGGAATTTTAGTCTCCAACGGGTGGAGTGAACTCTTTTTGCTTCCAACATTGATTTTTAAAGACATGTACTAAAAAGCAATTTATTCTAACTAATACTTCATCTCTTTCCACAGGACTACTTGAAGTGGCATATTAAAAACTGGCGTGCAGTAATTCTAACGGAAAACTAGGAATGAAAGAGACGGGTCTGACCTATATTCCCATCTCCCATTGCTTATGGCAGCCTTGGAGAACATGATGGAATATTGTTTAAAAAACAAACAAACTTCAGATAAAGCTTGACAAAAATTCAAACTCTTGGCTAATGAAGTGTATCAGTGTGTTCTCATTCATGACGGACTCTCTCTGCCATACGTGAAGTGGGCACTTAAAACATCCCACCACTGTACCCATTAAAAAGAGTTGTCCTTAGAGGGTAGAAATGAAGGAAATCTTTTGACTTTCCATTTATTAATTATGGCACATGTGTGGAGGTTAGAGGGCGGCTTCCACTTTTACTTAGTTTCTGGGGACAGGCCTCAGGTCACCAGGCTTCACCTGCTGCGCCATCTTGTTACCCCTAGATATCCTTTTGAAGAGCTTATGAAATTGTGTGCGCGCGCGCGTGTGCGCGCACACACACGCACACACGCACACACACACACACACACACACACGTGGCATGGCAGGTGTGTGGCAGTCAGGATAACTTTAGAGAGTTGGTTCTTTGACCTTGTGGGTGGGTTCTGTGAACTGAACTGGGTCTTCGGGCTTGGTGGCAATCACCCTTAGCCACTGAGCCATCTCACTGGCCCCTTTTGAACATCTTTCTTCGAAAATTATCATAACAGCATTAAATTTATCTTTTTGACATTTCGTTGACTTTTTTGAGTATGAGAAAATACTGATTATACCTGGCTGCAAAAAATCTGCTTTAACATACAGGGTGGTAATAGGCATTAATTTCAGACCCAGTGTCAACGTGGAGAAGATGACAGGGTAAGACAGTTGCACTGTGAAGCCTGAAAGACACGACTGGTACCTGTCAAAAGTCAATGTTTCAAGTATGAATCTTATTAAGGAAAAGGAGATATTCTATGTGGGCCTATGTGTCCAGTGCCTAGTCTTGTGCTATTATAGGCATTTGTTTTAATCAAACTCCAAAGGAGTAAACAAAAAAAAAAAAGTGGAGAAATATCAAACATTGAGAGGTGCTAATTACATAAAAATAAATTCTAGGAATGGTTAAGTGCCAACAATCTTCTTCAACTGTCTTTATTACAGTAAGAGGAAATTTTACTCTTAATGCATAGAATCTGAAGAAAAAAATTTACATTTAGCTTTTAAAAGAGGCCTTTTTGACAATTATTAATACAAATGTGAAATAAGACCCTCCAAACAAATACCAATTTCAGTAATAGTTTACATACAGCAATAATTTATTCTGAAATGTTCATTTAGTTTGAGACACAATTCATGTCTCATTAATAAAAGAGCAGCCATCTCACCTCAAATACCAGAATATACAACAGTTACAGCATAGCAAAAATTCTACCTACTTTCCATAAAATCTAGTTCAGTTAAAATAGTTCCATTCATGTTTTACAGTTACACAGATTTGAGCACAAAATAGTGTGAATCGTTACACTGTAGCTATCCTATGCACACATGTGATCACAGAATCATTAATCATTACTTCTGAAATTGAACCGTCGTCAGTTTCATTCATGCACTAAAGCAAAGCAGGCTGGGTAAACATAGTCACCGGGAACCATATTACTGTGAATTTCACAGCCACATGATTAATTATGACATTAGATGGATTCACAAGGACTATTTTTTGCATAAATACCAATTTCTCCCTGATGTGAGTTTATTTTATAATCTAGAAATGATTGATAACAGCAATATATCATATAGTTTCTATCTGTAGTGTTAAGACAAGCGATAATTAAAGGACATGGAATGGATGCTTCTTAAATACATGTAAAACATACTGTACAAATATACTTGGCTTTACCGGTTTTTGTTTTCTTCTTCTTCCTACCTAACAAGAGTGCCTTCCAAAATGACCAGTGAGGACAGAGTGGACTATCAAATATGACTGCCAGAACAAAACCCCTCTAACAAGAAGCAAACCTATTTACAGAACTTTCCCACCTCTCGTCTTCTTTCAAACAGTCTCTATACAGCAGTTGTGAGGAAGGCCGGCTTTCCCTACGTTCGTCCCTCTTACGCTTCTAGACGGACGTCACGAGGTAAGACCCAGAATGGCGCTTTGGGCTTTGGGCCCCGCTGGGCTCCGAGCTGTCGGTCTTGGAGTCTCGCTTCTTGGTGCTGCTGCCCACTGGTGTTGGGATCTGAGATGGCCGGGCCGAAGTGCTGTCGGCACTGCTCTTCCTCGGGCTGGGGTTGTAATTAAAAGGTGTCACTCTGGCAGCCACAGTCCCGCTAGGCGAACTGTGTTTGCTGGAGCTACTGGAACTGAAGGGGGTGCGCTCCACTACACAGGTCTCACTGGTCTCCGCGGCGGCGACAGGGTTACTACTCTGTCCTGCCTTTGTCTCAGCTCCTTTCTGTTCTGGGGCGTCTACCTGAATAAAGGAGTTCAGGCGGTTTTCCAGACCCGCGGTGTGCACAGGACTGCCACCGCCCACACTCTGTTTTCCCTGGGTATCTTTTGACTCTTTAATGCTTGGATTTCCCTTTTCTGAAAGACTGTCAATCACTGGGGGAGTGTTCCCTGTGGGAGATCTTCCAGATCTAGGGTTGTTAATGGGGCAGTCCTCAATTCTCACCCAAACGTCCTCTGTTTTAGAAACAGCAGGTGCCATCTGATAAATCAGAGTCTTTGATTCAGCACCATTGGCAGCACCTGAGGAAGCGGTCTGAGAAGCCATGTTGGTGGGGGAAATTTCACTCTCTTTTATTTTCCTCCACGTCCCCTTTGTGGGCACCTGGGTCTCTTTCACCTGTCTGGGTCCTGGCACGGAGCTCACATGCTTTTCATCCTCACTTTTGGCTTTTTCACTGGACTCGGACGAGGCGGAAAGAATCGAGGAGGAGCTTCCGGTCCTTCTCCAGGTGCTCACTCGGGGAAGGGACGAGGAGTGCTTGCTGTGTTCCCGCTTCCAGGTCCCCGCCCGGTTGATGGGCAGTCGGGAAGGGCTCTCCGAATGGGAGCGGGCGATGTCGTGCCTCTTTGCTGCTCTCCCGTCGTTATACTCGATGGTGGGGCTGAGATTGGGTGGGAGCTTCCGCCATCCACCAGCCTGAACAGATGGATGTGTGGACAGAGACATGTCAGGAAGAGAAGGGCTTAAGACCGGGGTTGGCGCCTGGGACCTGGTGGGAGAATCTGGTCTAGAAGACGGAGAGAGGGACTCAAATGAGGCCGATTCCTCCAGTTTCCTCCTTAGGGTCGGGCTTGGGGCTTCTTTGATGAAAGTAGACTGGCGTACTAATGTAGGTCTTTCTGATCTATCTGATTCACTTCCACTTGACTTAGTTGAAGACATTCTAGAAAGTTCTACCTTTTTATTAGCTCCATTGCCGTTACTCATCTGATTCAGTCCTTTAGACGCGGACTCGCTTCTTGGGATACTACTGGCATTCTTGGATAAGCCTGTTTGTTTGGTAAGGTTTTGTTGGCTCATCTGCCTACCTGGGGATGTATAGGGCATTTTCCCAGAACTCGAGGACTTAGTTGAAGCAGTGCTCGGAGATGATGTTCTGGGCAGCTGAGACAGTTTGTTAGGAGGGCTTATTCCATTTCGACCAGGGGAGATGGAGTTCCGCCCCGGGGACTGCATTGGCCTACTTAATGGCTGCTGTGCAGGTCTTGAGGGGGTGGAGTCTCTAGACCCTGATCTAGAAGGCCCCTTGTTTGACCCACTGATTTGGGAAGTTTGCCTGGTAATAGGGCTCAGCTCCGATTTCACTGATGGCTTGTTTCCTCTAGGGGAAGTGGTGGCTGCCGGGGCCTCACTGGGGCTTTTGGAGGCTGGAGTCTTGAGGGGTGGGCCTTTTTTAGAAACAGGACTTGTACTGGAGGAGCTATTCCGAACCCCTGGGATGTGAATCATGGTCCTGCCTCTCGAGATTGAAGGCATGTTTGCCTGGAGGGGCTGTTTCATTTGGCTGGAAATTTCTGAATTAGATCGAATCTTTCCAGTAATCAAACTTTTATAGACCTTTTTCCCACCTTTGATTCCTTTATTTTCAGATTCTATCTTTTTTGTTTCTAATGTGCTTTTCTCCCCAGGTTTGAGAATTCTTGGGCCTTTATTACTTGTGAAGGGTTTGTCCTCTTGATCAGGGGTAAGATGAAAAGGTGACCCCAGGGAAATGCCTGACTTCAGTGACAGAATGGAATCTGAATCAGAGGAAGCCTGTCTAGATAAGCAGGCAGCGGCAGCAGCAGCCTGGTGCAGACTACTTACTATGGAGTTTGCACCTTCTTGAATGGCTTTCCAGTCAAAGTTTTCTGAATCAGGAGATAAACCATGTTCTGAGTCTGGCCTCTGGCTATCTTTCAAGTCAAGGGACAGATCTTCAGCTAGAATGCCACCCATGTTTCTGGGGCTGTGCTTTTCACTATCACCCTTGAGTCTTGAAGGCCTTTTCTTTTTTGGCATTGCAGAACTTATACACTCCTGCAACAGGTCATCTTCAGAGTCAATGCTGAGAGAGCTCAGAGAGCTGTTTCTTGAGAAGCAGACAGGGGTGTCTTCAACATGAAAAGACTTGGGCGCGTACCCAGATGCCTGAGGCTTACTCGGGTCTCCTTGTGCATTAGTAGGTTCAGCTTCTTTAATTGGTTCATTTTCTTTGTTATTGTTGTTTTCTTGGTCGATGTCACTGAGGGAACTCAGAGAGGAATTTCGAGAAAAGCAAACTGGAGTATTTTCAATAGCAAAACTCTGCAGTTTCTCATCTGTGGCTGCCCCCCTGTCTGGCAAGTCTTTGGAGGACTGGGGGAAGGTGGGTTGTTTCTGAAGCACTGGTTTAGACTGTGCCCGGTTGACCGGATGTTTTGCACTAGCTTGTGACTTACCAGCTGACTGCTGACTTGAGGCTGGTTCTGTGTGGCAGGTAGCTTTGGCTTCTGAATCCTTACTTCCTTTTCCCTTTCTTAACTCGGCCTTTTCCCGGGAAAGGTCAACATCGTCATCATCAAAATCTAGAGAACTCAAAGAATCATTTCGTGAGAAACAGTACGGAGTTCCTTCAATAGGAGTGTAGTGATGCGGTGAATCGAAGGTAAAGCTTCCTCGGACTCGGTCTTCATTGTTTGGTACCTTATCATTGAAGTCCTTGGGGTTGTTTTTCAAGTTCTGTTTCTTTGAGTCTTTGTTGTCTGAGAAAGTTTCTTCAACCTTTACGTTACCTTTTGAGTCTGTATTCTTCCTCACACGTGTTCTGTATTCAGTATTTTGTGGCATGGGTTTTACTGGTGACGTGGGCTTCTTTTTCTTAGTGTCTACTTGATTTTTGTTAGTTCCAGATGAAGTCACTGATGCTTGCTGGACCTGGTCCATTATCTTCTTCACTCGCAAAGGCTTGTGGCTTTTTCCCTTGGGCATAGCAGAGTTGATACATTCTGCAAGAATATCCCCCTCCTCCGCTTTGCTGTCGTCCAGGTCTGGCGTCACTACAGATGAGACTTTCCCCCTCTGGGCTTCGTCTGTACTTCTGCCCTCTGTAGGAATGGTATCTCGCTTTTCAAATTCGCCTGACTGTGGACCTGCTCTAACCCCGTCTCCAGCAGCCAACTCATTTGGAGGGGATTCTATGGTCAGGTCGCTTAGAGATGTCGCTGTGGAAAAGTTGATAGGTGTCCCTTCTACACAGTACACGCGGGGCATATCATCTCCTGGTGTAAAGCTAACATGCTTTTGTGCCTGCAGCCTGTTCTGTGATGGCAGAAGTTTGTACACAGGCAGCTGACTTGGTTTCCTTGCCACAGGTGGAGGTAATTTTGAAGCAGTCTGGGCTAGCTTTTTGGCTTTGCGTGATGACTTGGTTGGCATGGCTGAAATAATACATTCTTCTAATATTTCAATATCATCATCATCTGAATCATCTAGTAAGTCTTTTTCAGAATCAGGTTTTTCTACCTCTTTGTCCTGGTTTTCATTTGAGTCTTCAGGCTGCTCCGGTTCAGTCTCATTCCCATTGTCATTCTCCTGAACTGGAGGCATTATTCTTAACTCCACATCTTTCTGTATAAATGGTTCATCGAGGCTCAGAGCGCTCAGGCTAGATGAACAAGAGAAGCCATCTGGAGTACTTTCTGTGGCAAAGTGCAGTAGAGTATCGGCGTCTGGAAGGACCTGGACCCTCTGGACTGCAGCGCTGACAGCAGTCTGCTGAGGGCCGCTCTCTCTCTTCTCACCAGCGGGCACCTTCGTTTTTGGTGCCTCTCTCTTGGTCTGGACTGTCTGTGGAGGCGGCGGCGGAGGGGTTTTGCTTCTACTTGGTGGCATGGTCTGCCCCGGGCTATCTGGAAGGTCACTGGGGCTTATGATGCCACTCACCATTCCACTGCATGGCTCACTCTGAACAGAGCTAGCAATGGAGCGACTCTCAAAACTGTCAAGGGAGCTGACGGAAGTGCATCTGCTGAACACCAGTGGCGTCTCCTGGACATAGTGTTCTGGGGGACTTTTGGGTGTCTGAGCACCACTTTTGGAGGGAGACTTGGCCCCTGAAGAAAATTCAACAGCCTTATGCCTGGTTGATTCTGAAGGTAAGCCAGAAGCCTGGAGTCTGCTGGGTTTCGTTCTAGCATTCTGAGACACAGCTGGAACTTCACTTGCAGGATCTTCAGTGGATCGAGTTCCATCATTCTCTTTGATTTCTGCTATCTGCAGAGTATTAGCAGAATCTGCCTCCTGTGGTGTCTGATCACATCCTATTTCATCTTCAGCCGATGACAGAGACGATAATGAACTGCACCTGGAGAAACATATGGGGGTGTCTTCTACACAGTAAGTCTGTATTGTTTCTTGGTTGATGGAGGGGACTTTGCAAGCGGTCCCTTTCTGAGTCTGACCATTTCTCTGTGCTGAACTTGGATGCAGCTGATTCTGCCTTTTGGCGTTAGATGAAGGTGTGGATGTATTCTCGCTGCTTGGAGAGAGATGTTCAGTTTTAGTGCTTTGTGCTGATGAGTTCTTTGAGAATGGAAACGATGGCTTCTGTGAGGAAGAAATGTCGGTGGCATATTTTAAGCTATAATCAATAGGCTGGTCCACATGGTGTTTTTCTTCGTTATATTTTATACTATAGTCCGTCGGTCTCTCCTCCTCTTCTTCGTGTTGCTCTTCCTCAGAATAACGCTCGCTGTAGTTCGTAGGCTTGTCATCTTCATAGTCGTCTTCCTGACACACAGACTGGCTTACATTCTGATTGACTGCATGACTAGAACCCATGCGACTGGTTTCTGAACCACTGGTTCCCCTAGACCTGTACGGGGAAACACACTCCTGTTGTCCAAAATGTGGCTGGAACTTGAGGTGTTTGTCGTCAGCGTTCTCGGAGTAGACAGGATAACTGGTGTTCTGGCTCCTTGACTGTCTTTGCTCATTTTGCTTTATTTCATCTTCTATTACATGCTTCGGTCTTGCCCATCTTTCATTCTGTGAGGGACTCTGCCTTCCAGAGTTCAACTGCTCATCTGAGTATTTCAGACTGTAATTTATTGGTGTATCCAGCTCTCCATCATTATCATCCATATGATTTGCACTATGTATCTTATGGGCTAGGTCAGCTGGATACTGACCATAGCTGCAAAACTTACTTTCATCATCCTCAGAATAGGATTCGACCGAGGGTTTCATCTGACCTCTTTTACCATACCCATCGCTACTATTGACACTATTTAAACTGTCATTGGAAGATCTCTTATATTCCACTTTGGCATAAGGCATAGAGCATGTCCTATTAGAATTTTCTGATTTGGTAAAGTTGTATGTGTTTGGATGTGTATGGGGGGCAGAGCTTCTTCGTGCTGCATTCCTCTCCTCCGTCACACAGTGGAACTCAGTGGCAGAAGCGGGGCTTCTGTCTTCCTGGGAGGCATGAATGGCTGATACTTCTTCCATAACTTTGGCGATCTGGGCTGCACTGCCAGAGATCTGCAAGCCTCGTTTGGAAGAGGTTCCTGGATTTTCTGTTGCTGAATGGTAAGTGCTGAGGCCAATACCTCGTTCTCTCTCTAAACTTCTGTCTTTTTCAGAACGAGAACTGTCTAAACTTCCCCTCGATGATGAAGAGCTGGGCAATACTGTAGTGTTTAAATATGGTGAAAGAACAGTCATGTTTCCAGTATTAAAACCGTCTGACCTAGTCTCATCATGTCGACTGGTGTCAAAAACATAGTCACCATAAAGATTTGGCTTGTGTCTCTGCTTATTACGATGAGATGCCTTGGGACTTAAATTGTCAATGTTGTCAAAGGTTTCTGATAAATGCTGAGCATCTAACTCTGCTTCCAGGGCCTTTTGTTTCCTGACATGAAGAGATGGCAGACTCGAACCAGGAGACATGATATTGGCGTCCTTGTACTTTGCAGGTCTGTTTGCCATGAGGTTCCTTAAAGCTGCAGCACTTCCCATGGCGATCATTTTGTGCTTGGAATGAATGAGGTTCTTGAGCATGCTCACTGCCCCCATGTCCCACAAAGCCTCCTGGTCTTTAGGGTTTCTTGCTGAGAGATTCCACAGAGTTCCACACGCATTACTGACTATTGTCAAGCTGTGAGATTTCAAGTGCTGCAGTAAAGTCTGCAGGCAATTGTTCTCTCTTAGGATTTGCCTGAATTAAAACAAGAGAACACAGGACGAAGGGAAATGTGATTAGTGACAACAAATAAGGCACAGCAAACAGGCTTGCACACGAAGATGATGACTAAACACAGTGGGCACAACATGAGTGCATCAACCATCTGGTGAACCCATGTCACTTCTCCTTTTGTTCTCTGGGTTCATTTAATGTTTACTGGTTCAAGGTATCCATCTGTCAGCCCAAGAGGAGTAAAAGTGAGTGTTAGGTTTCATTTATTCTGTGTCCTATTCTGATCCACTAGAAGAAAAAATAACTGTTTTGAACAGATACATTTTCTCCATTCACACAGTAATAGTTCTCTAACTTAAGACCTACAAACACATAATGAAATCTTAAATTAAACAGGGACTGTGGCAATTTAATATAGGCAACCACGTTGAATACTGAGATTGGAAGCAGAAGACAAGTGATCTTTCTGTAGTCAGGGAGCATGCTATGCTTCTAGACCAGCCAGGAGTCTCTGTCTCTGTGATAGCGCCATGTCCTTGCCAAGTGCCCTTTGGCAGACTGTGTATATTCATTATTTAAAAAAATAACATGAAGCCGGGCGGTGGTGGCGCACACCTTTAATCCCAGCACTCGGGAGGCAGAGGCAGGCGGATCTTTGTGAGTTCGAGGCCAGCCTGGTCTACAGAGCCAGATCCAGGAAAGGCGCAAAGCTACACAGAGAAACCCTGTCTCGAAAAACCAAAAAAAAAAAAAAAAAAAAAACATGAAGTATGTGTTTTAAAATACAAAAAGGCTAACAGTCAACATAATAAACTCTGGGTCTTGGAGAGACCTATAGCCTTTTAAATATAAGGAAAACTAAAATCTAGTGATAGGATATTCTACTTTGGTAGACTTTAAAATTCTTTGTCCAGGGTATACAATAAGTATCAATACTGTCTTCTCCGATGGAGAAAGAGGGAGACAAGAGAAGGTAAATATGATCACAATACAAAACCCAATGTTTTGTACAATAATATATACTAAAAAAAAAAAATATGAATGAAAAAAAAAGCAAAGAGCCATGGTGGATATTCCTTAGTTCAGTATCAACTGAGAACTTACTGAACTGAAGTATTCTCTGCACAGCACAAAGTGACGTGAAACTTCCAGTCTATGCATCAAAAGCTTAGTAAGTTGTGAAAAAAATCTATATTTTGTTGTCATAAAAGATACATGTTTAAAGATGAGAATATCAAACAAAATTGATATGCACTATGAAAATGTAACATTTATAGGAGAACAATGTGTGCCCTACTCTGAACTGACTTCTGAAGCCTCACAGTTCAGTAGACTGGATAAACAGCTGATGATTAAGTAATCTAATGACTGAGGTTAAGACACCTGAGTGTCATTAGAAAAATGAATGTTGAGCCTTTATGCTTCCTAGGTCATACTCAGGAGTTTTTTCTTTGCTTAAAAATTAATTTTATATTCCTTTATGTAATTTAAATAGGTAGGGAAAATTAAAAGTATTTTGACTTTTATTCGTTTTTTCCTACAGATGAGAGGTACAGCCTAACTACCATTTACTGCTTTATTTGTAGGTTTCTATTAAGACACTTCAGACTTTACTAGAAAAACCATGCAAATGAGTTACACTAGGAGTTGTGACTGCACTGCAGTAAGGACATTTTGCTTAAAGCTTTCATAATGACATAAAACATTTTACAATCAGGTCTTTCTAGAGAAATAATAATAGTAATAGTAATAATAATCCATTTAAAAGGAATATAAAACTTGTTTGGTACCTGTGGTCTTCATTTGTAGCTATCAAGCTGGACACATTTCGTAATATTCCACCTCCACTTTCGATAATGGCTAGAGTATTTGTCTGGCTTCGGTAAGTGAGCGTGCCAACCAAAAACGCAAGTGCTCCGTCCACAGCACAGATGTCAGCTTTATTCTCCGTGCAGTGAGCGGACAGGTTCCATAAGGCACTCAAGACACTTTTCAGGGTCGATTCCTATTAATGATGAACAGAGGATGTATCATTTAGTTAGACTCTTTTTTTCTTTTTGTCTCCCTTCTGCACATTCCTCACTAGGAAATCAGGCATTTTTCAGTTACACTTTCATGCAATGTCAAATAAAATTTAGGTCAGTGCTGTTCCTATACAACACAGTATTAAACTAATGACCTTCATTCTAAGTGTTTAGATGTTAGACATGTATCTTTAATGAACCAGAGTATAAAGCAGAATTGATATTCACTATCACAAGATAATATTGTCAGGATAACAGAAACTCAATTCAAACACCTTCATATACTACACGAGGATATAGAAGGATATTTTAAGTACTAAATGACAACACACTGCAGAGCAGGTTATATAATTAAAAACAAATATATGTATTCATGTGCTGTTGATTAAAAAAATGTAACTTCTGAAAAGTACTAGAATATGTACAAATTCTTAAAATTCCTAAAGAAACAAAGTAACTATGAAAAGGCACAAGTCCCCTAATATAAAAAAAATTATAAATGCCACAGAAACACTCTGATACACAATTAATGATATCCGGTCATAATCTGTCACACTCCAAACGCGTGTTTCTTTCTGTGATACCATCAAGGAATCTTCACTAGAAATGTATTTGTTCCTATCACTGCAAGAAACACTCCAGACAATACAGATGCGACACAGCACTCTAAACAGAAGGCTACTGCAGCCCGAATTTCATACAAATCCCGCGCCAAGGGACAACACTGTAGGCAGAAAAGGCAGACGGTGTAGAGAGGAACACCAGAATCAAGTTAAATGCCCAACAGGGTCTTAGTTACTTTACTTGGAGTCTGAAGTCTAGTGTCTTGTGCAGACATACAGAGCCTTACCTAAACGGCCAGTGTCATGGAACTCACTAGCCAGGTGTGGTGGCTCATGCCTGCGAATCCCAGCACTTGGGAGGCTAAGGCAGGGATTGTTACAAAATCAAAGCCAGCCTCTCTAATGAGACCCAGAGTCAAAACAAGAACAAACAAAAGGACAACAAAACCCCAACGCACGCACGCACGCACGCACACACCAGGGAGGAGGTCCTGAGTCCAGTTCTAGTCACAGTGTGAAAGTAAAAGTAAAGGTGGGATGATCAACGGGAAAGGTGTCAGAAACTTCGCGTGAGCAAAACTGCAACTGACTCAACAGTGGGAGACCAAGGGACGGAACACAGATGTTCCCCAGATGCCACCTCAGGCCCCGGGCCACCGGTCGGCATCAAACGAGCTTCCCAGCACAAATTCCGGCAGGCATGAATGATGACAGGCTGCAGGTGGAGCGGGGCGGCCTGCCATGTGTGTAGTCGACATGGACGGGAGGAGAGAGGACGCAGGGAAGGGCTTGAGAAGGAGAAGAAATGATTAGAGGGAGAATAAGGAAAGGAGCTTCAGAACAGTGACTGACGGGGAAGGGAGAGAACCTGACCAGATAAACCGCAGTCGATTTTGAGACAAAGGAAAAAGTATCGGGAGTAAATTAGAGGGGACCGACGCAGTGACCCATTCAGGACTTTGGCTGTTATAGGAAAAGAAATACTCCAGTCATTACAAGCCATAGGGAATTGTTTATTTTTAAAGTATGTGGATTTTTGTGGACGGCTGGAACGTAAGAAAGGTCTAGAGACGAAGACAACAGGGGAAAGGAGCCAGCTCTAAGAGCAGAGCAGAGTATGCGGCACAGAGCACTCACTTCCCCTGAAATTGTACCGAGTTATTCCCGAAGGAAATAAACTGTACATCCTTCACCTATTTTTATCACTTGGATGTAAATACAGACTCCAATCAAGTAACAAACCTTAGCATCTCCCAAGGTTCCTTCAGATGCCTCTCAACCTCTCTTTTCATTCCACCCCAGGCCCTGGACAGCTACTGCCTTGCTTCTGACACTAGCCTCCTCCTCAAGAAGCCAGCTAGCACTCTCCCTCTGCGGACTTTTATCTGGTGCTGCTGTCCGAGTTTCAGTAAGTACAAGCTAAAGAGAACTCCAGGAACAAAAGAAACCACACAGGCTGCAGATGATTGTCGAGCCCACTCAAATGGTAACTGGTGGCCTGGCAGGATAGTTTAACAAAAAAGCACATAAGCCTGATGACCCGAGTTCAATTCCTGGAGCCCACAGTGGGAAGAGAGAATCAACTCTTGAGATTCTCTGACCTCCACATATGTCCACATAGGCATGCACAAAAGCACACACATACAAGCATGCACACAAACAAAAACAAAGTTAATTGGAGAAGTCTTTTAAAATAATCTTGTTATTTTTCAATAATTTGCTTTGGGCTGGGAGACGGTTCATCTGGTAAAATGCCTGCCATACAACCATGAGCACCTGAGTTTGAGTCTCCCCAAAACCCATGTAAAGCTGGCTGTGGCAGTGTGCCCTGGGAAGGTGAAGACCCATGTAAGGCTGGCTGTGGCAGTGTGTCCTGGGAAGGTGAAGACCCATGTAAGGCTGGCTGTGGCAGTGTGTCCTGGGAAGGTGAAGATAGGAAGATGTCTAGCCAGTCTAGCTGAATAGATGAACTCCAGGTTCACTGAGAGGACTTTACCAAAAACAGGGGCTGGAGAGAGGGCTCAGCAGTTAACAACACTGGCTGCTCTTCCATAGGACCCAACACCCTCTTTCTGGGCTCTGAGGGCACCAGGCATGCATGTGATACACAGACATACATATAAAAATAAGGTGGAGGGCTACAGATATGGTTCAGCAGATAAGAGTGCTTGCTTAGCATGCACAAAACCCTGGGTTTGATCCTGGGACCATGTAAAACAAGGGGTGGGGCACACGCCTGTAATCCTAGCACTTGGGAGGTGGAGGCATGAGGATCCCAAGTTCTAGGTCATCCTTGGCTGCACGGTGAGTTCCAGCCTGTGCTACATGAGACCTAGTCTTGAAAAGAAACAAACAAAAAACCAGGTGAAGGGGATTGAGGAAGACATCCTACACTTACCTGTAGTCTGCACACGCACTCATGAACACACACACACACAGACATAAACACGCACATACCATTTCTCATTTTTTAAGCCAGTACTCCACTATGTTGCCTGGGATGGTCTTGAACTCTTGGGCTTGAATAATCCTCCCACCATACCCTGCTGGATAGGCTGGGGCTACAGGAATGTAATACTTTGTTTAGCCAGTTCATTCTTTTAATAGCTGTGAAGAATTTCATTATGCATATACTTCACGCTTGCTAACCGTTTACCTAATGACAGAGTGATTACAGTTACTTCTGACTTTTGGCCATTACAAAATTATGAAGAACATCCATGTTTAAATCTGTGTGAGAACATTAGTTTTTGTTCCTGTAAGTAAATTCTTTTTTTTTTGTTTTTTTTTTCGAGACAGGGTTTCTCTGTGTAGCTTTGCGCCTTTTTCCTGGAACTCACTTGGTAGCCCAGGCTGGCCTCAAACTCACAGAGATCCGCCTGGCTCTGCCTCCCGAGTGCTGGGATTAGAGGCGTGCGCCACCACCACCCGGCTCCTGTGAGTAAATTCTTAAGAATGGAATGGCTAGGTAGTTTGGAAGGTGTATGTTTAACTTAATTACATGTTTAATCCCGTCCAAATGTTTTCCTAAGTCTTATATAATTTCACATTCCCAACAACAGTACGGAATGCCTCCAGCTGGTCAACAACCTTGATGTGTGGTTTATTTTTTATCTTTAAGTCAGTATGGTATGTATTATAGCATCTCACTGTAGTTTTAATAACAAATGATATCCTGTACCCTTTTCAGCATTTAGTGGCTATTCAGATCTTTCCTAAAGAATCAGTCCTGGTCACCTATTTAGCAGTTTCAAAGGCATCTTTATACAGAACCTATGTACACATAAACATGGCTCTGTGTCCATGTGTACGATGAGTATGCAAGTGTTTGTGAGAGTTGGGTGAGTATAGGTGTGTGCATGCCACCACGTGCCAGTCACCGAGGACAGCCTCTGGTGCTGGTTCTTGTCTCCCACCTTGCTTTAGACAGGGTCTCTTGGGTGGTGCACACCTTTAATCCCAGCACTAGGGAGGCAGAGGCAGGTGGATTGCCTATTACAGTACTGGACATTACAAAAATTACCTTTTTAACTTCCAAAGCACATTCCATCAATGCTTTCACACTTCCAACTTCTCGCAATGTCTTTTTGCTATTTACATCTGCTCGCCAAGACAAATTCCTCAAAACACTTGCAATAACCTGCAAATAATCAAGTTTAGAATAATTTGCATATAAAATGATTCATACTAGTGACCTTTTTGCTTCTAATGCTAGCGGTAAGAGTAGGTATCTATTACAAGTTAAATACATCTTATCTAAATGCTTGGCATCGTAAGTGTTTTGATTTTAAAACTGGCTTTTTGAATATTTGTATATGTGTGAGATTCCCTGGGTATGACATTATGTTCCATATGTATGAATCTTACATGTATAACCCAACGGTAACTTTTTACAGTATTTTAATAACTTAGTGCATAGAACAGTTTCAGAACACAGATTTTCCACAGCAGCATAGTTTCAGATTCTGGATTAGGAATGTTCCAGCTACATGATCAAAGTATGGTATCTGTATGTATTGAAAGGTTGCAGGTGAAAACTACTGAATACTGAGCCAAAGCTTAATATCAACCAGCACATTAGCCTGTTACTACCCAGGAAAACCATTAGCAATTCTAAGCAGTACCTGCTGTAAGTCTTCACTTTCCGATTTTAACTGGGCCACGAGTGCTCTCATGCAGCCTTTCATCGAACACAGCGTAGCCTGTAACGGTAGACGGGAGCAGGACATCAGCCAGCCAGCCGGAGACGGCTGCTTCCTAGCTACTCAATTTCAAACCTGGGCTTTTTACTTCAATCATAAATGTTACTTTACCTGTACGAGACCCAGAACAAGATTACCTAAATGAAAGACAGACGTCTCCTGTTTCTGTTGTCTATTTCCTCTACCTCACTGGAAAAACCAAACAAAATCCCAAGAACGGTAAGCAAAGGGTAGAGCATGGTGCTCTGGGTGATGGACTCATATGTGAACTGTTGTCACGGCACTTTACTCTCACTCCTGGGGACAGGGTTTTATTAACTGATTTTCTATAGTGCTGGCGAGCTGCACTTTCTGGGTGAATGAACTGCCATTTCTGCTACATCCCCAGTCTGAGAAGCAGTGCTGTTGGTGCAGCTGTATTGAGTACAGTGCCCTCCTCAGGTGCACCAGCTGTCTGTGGTGAGTAGTGTGCCCTCCTCAGGTGCACACTTGCTTTGTTTAGGCAAGAGACAACCTACTAAGTAGGAATACGCAGTGAGGAAACGGTGCTTTTTTTTTTATTAGTCATTGTTCAACTGGGGTGGGGTGGGAGACACCAAAAAAAATCAGAAGTAATTCTTTGTTTCCTTAGTTTGAAAAGTTGTTTTTATGAAAATAAATTAACTCCTAACTGAGCTACCTTAAGAAGTAAATCTTATAAAAGACATACCTTGTTGGCAACATCTCCAAAGGTCAAGTTTGTCAAAGCCATTCCAGCATACCGTCTCAAAGTAATACTGTAGTGGTCATTAGTGAGCCCATACATCTCACAGTCCACCTGTAATAATTCTGCAATGGCCTGTAGTCCCCCTAATTTAACAAGGGTAAAAGGAAAAATATAATAATCTATAATCAAATAAACTGGCAACTTAAAAACCAGGGGAAAAAATCTCAAAGAATAAGAATACATGATTTAAATTTGCTTTTAGAATTAAAAGCTACAGAACTGTTGTAAACAATTTTTGTGTAATATAAAATACAACTGACAATGATTACACTCTCTGCCAGTGTCTCCACCCTCCAGCCTCTAGCTTTACTGAATGAAATAAACATTATTTTCTATTCACTGACACACACTGTGACTTGCCAACAGTAAAAGCTATTTCGTTAACACTGGTCTTCCTAAACCTAAACAGAAAAATGAACTTACTGCTATTATAAGGGCTTTAAAACTACTTTTCATTGTCATATACTGTGGCCTGATACTTTTTTAATGTGTCAAGTAAGTATCCTTAGGGATAATGAAACTTTTATTTTATTTTATTTATTTTTTTTATTTTTTGGTTTTTCGAGACAGGGTTTCTCTGTGTAGTTTTGTGCCTCTCCTGGAACTCACTTGGTAGCCCAGGCTGGTCTCGAACTCACAGAGATCCGCCTGGCTCTGCCTCCCAAGTGCTGGGATTAAAGGCGTGCGCCACCACCGCCCGGCCAAACTTTTAAATGAAATTGTGCTTGAAGCAAGACTTACTTCATGAAAAGAACGGTCTATTCAACCAACTACAAAGTTCTACAAAGTTTCTTTTAAAAAAAATTACTCTTAATTCCCTTGGATACTACAACATATTAACCATCCCAGGCTTCAGTGTTTTTCTTCTAATACCTAACTAGCAGGTGTGCTTGACAATGCTCACAGCGGTCAACACTAGGAAGAAAGGAAGGGAGAAAATATAAGGGGAGGAAAACGAAAGACAATAAAGGAAGGGGCTGTAAAACAAAGTGAAGCAAATGGTGAGGATGAGGATAAAAGAAAGATAAAAATGTACACGAACGGTTAGAGGATTACTCATCATCAACATCAATCACCACGGGACTTGGGATGTTGTTTTGTTAGAGAGAGGTTGCTCAAGCATTTAAAAAAAAATGTGCTTGTAAGTCTCAGCAGGTTGCAAGCCTGAAAGCCCAGCACACTAACATTTTATGAAGAACACGAAAAGATCAGCAGAAGACTTTGCAAACTTAGGAAGCTAAATTCTATGTTGAGCTCAGAACTATATCTAGAGTATAGAGGATTCATGCAGACCTTTATGACAAGAAGAGATGACAGGCAATTCTCTGAACACTGGCAAGCAAATTAATTTGTATAAAGAAAATCCAAACCATATTTATGAAGATTTTCCTCCATCTATTTGCAATTATGAGTAAGTACAGTCACCAAGTTTAAGGTGAAGCTTAATGGATGACTGAGTATCTAACAAAGTAAGGGCAAGGAAGACAAAGAAGTCCTCTGGGCAGGAGAACAGTATGTGTAAGGGCCCAACAAGGAGAGGCCACCAATTGAACCTACAAAAATGAGCAGATAAGGAAGTTAGGAAAAGGAGTATAATTAGAGGCACATTATAAGTAGAGTATGATGAGTGCAGTGTGAAGAATGGCTGAGGACTGGAAGTACTACAAAGTATGTAGAACCAGAGAGACAATGGTGTCTTGTGTCACGATGAGCAACAGCAATTATATATGTTCACACACACACACACACACACACACACACACACACACACACACACACACACACACACGTTGTTGTTTTTGAGACAGGGTCTCACTATGCATCCCCGACAGACTTGGAACTCCTATGTAGACCAGACCGGCCTTGAACTCAGAGAGATCAACCCCATCTGCCTCCTAAGCACTAGGATTCCAAGTATGTGGCACCATGCCTGACTTGAGATATACTCAAGAAACAGGATTAAAGTGCTAGTTATTAAATGTAGGAGATGCCAATACAGTCATGGATGATTTTTCCAAGATTTTGATTTGAGCAACTGGGTTATTAGAATGCTAAAAGGAACCCTGGGATAGACAGATTTGGGGATGGAGGTGACAAATTCCATTTGTGAGAGTTCAGTTAGAAGTGTCTAGAATACTATATAAAAAAGGAAGATGACAGATAAGTAGTATGAAAACATATCAAGGGTTTGGTGGTAGAGTGTTTGCCTAGCACACATAAAACTTAGGAGGGAAAAGTTAGATTGAGATGTGAATCAGAAAAACACTGGCTGAACAGCGGTTAATACAGTAAGTGGAGCTCTAGGAACAGACGATACAGCAGAGGGACAGAGATCGGGAGCGTAAGGCCTGGTTTCAATGAACATCAGTATTTTGTAAGGAGAAGTACAGCCAGAGTAAAGGAGAAGGATTCAGCAACATAACCGATGCTTTGGCGCAAGGCACTGACTAGGGAGTTCACTGAGACCTGAGACTGTGGCCCAGACACTGATGAGATGTTCCAGTGTAAAACACACTGCTCTGTTTCTGCATACAATCTTGCCTAGTGTAGTATCTAGATTACTTCCTAAGAAAGATAAAATGGTCTAAAGAAAGTGCTAAGAAGGCATTCAATTGTCAGAGAACTCTTGTATCCAAAAATACCAGTTTTAGGATTTGATTTTAAATAAAAATTAAAGCAAGATATGCTGTATTCTATGAAGACTATGACTGATGAAAAAATTAGTAAAACTTGGAATATTAGATAAAAGAGATCCCTTTATAATTTTAGGCAAGTAAAAAGAAAAAAATTCAGTGAATTCTGAGGCAAAGACTATAATTCACAGTTAAGACTATAAAAGGATTCACTGAAATATGATGCAGATTCACAGCTGGCAGAATAAAAAAATGATTGCCCTATGAAAAATGAGTATGTTTCAATGCAAAGGTGAGTCTATCCTCCTGTATCTTTGGTATCTGTTAGGAAATAGTGGTCCAGATAGGCTTACTATTGATATGATGTTTCATTACCTTACAGACAAGGAAGATTCAGTTGCTTCAAATGATATTAAACAGAACCCATACTTTAGACTCTTAGTTAAACTAAAACAAGGTAGTAAGATATTTAATTTTTAAAAGTATAGGTTTTTTTTTTTTTTTTTAAATAACATGGCTTAGCTAGCCATCATTAGCAGGAGATGTCCTATTCTAAAATGAGTATTAGGGGTCCACATCAATATTTTGTAGACTGATATTCCAGTTTCACAATCATAAGCATCACATAGACTGTTTATTGAATGGGATTCCTAGGGTCCTACTCTGGGGAGTCTGTGTGCTACAAGGCTGGAAAATCTATCTGGCCTGGCAAGTGCTTCTGCTGACTATTATGATCTAGAAATGTTGTGAAATATTAATGTAAATAAATTATGTTTTCACTGGAAGCCAGGGAATGTCTTAATCATTTGACAACTCCAGGGTCTAGCACACTTTCTGGACAGGCTTGGGAACTAACACTATCGGTCACTGATAGCACAATCTGAACGTCTGGTATTGAACAGCCCTGACGTGGACAGGTGACAGCGCTCACTGTCTAGGTTTAAGAGCTCTCCTCCTCTAACTGGGACGACACCTCCCTTCCTCTTCACTGCCGATCCCTGTGCTCGCACACTCTCCCATGACTCACAAACCTTACTCTTCTTTTGTCCCAGTGAAAATTTGAAGGCGAGGAGTGAGAGGAAGGTAACCCCTGTGGCTATGTCCCCACAGTCACACCCCCAGAGGCCCCATCCTGCTCCTCACCTGAAAGCCCCTGACCTAGCTCCTGTGATGAAATGCCCCGGGTAGCCTTCCTACCTGAAGAAGAAGAGGAACAAACACTGAGTCTAAGTTTTATTCTGAAATTCAGATAGTTAATGTGTCAGTCCTAGTCTCTAGTCCATTGGAACATACGAACACTTACAGAGAAATCTTTGCAGTATCTTAAAACTGAGTACTTTTCCTGTTGTTAGTTTTACCCCTTTCCATAATTATTGGCATTAGGAAAAAAAATTCACAAATGCTGAGATTGTACTGAACTGGGGAAAACCCCTAAGATTAAATAAGGTTTCACAGAAAGAGGATCAGGTGGGCCTTCGGGAAGAAAAGCATGGCTGGAGGGCAGGCAGGCCGCAACCACAGAGCACAGAGTTCTGCACAGCAACCCTTCCTGCAGTGCAGTCTGGACTCCACAGTACACGATGAATAACGACGCTGACGCTGAAGAGGGTGGAAGAACACAATGCAGGGCGGGGACGTCATGGAACATGAACAGCACAAAAGCATGGGCACAGCGCTACCAAGACAGAAACTCAGTGTGTGCTGCCTGGGTGTGGGTGACTAGAGAATCCAGCTGAGATGGCTCAGCGGGACACAACTGGTAAACGTATGTGTAAAATCAATCTAGAAATGAAAGAAAAACCATTACATGAAAAAAAAATGGGTGCTCAATGGCTACACAGGGTTTAGAGGGTATGATAATATGTACCTAAAAAGGAGTACTTTCTCCAAAATTAATGAAATACTTCTAACTTCAATTAGAATATGTCTTTCTACATATACTAGTTTCAACCATAGTGAAAATCCAGTAAAATACTGATAGCCATTAAGGGAAATTAAAATGTTAATAACTCTTCATCTAAAGTGACCGACAGATGGTAAGAACAATAATTCCCCCCGCCCCCCAGGGTTTCTCTGTGTAGCCCTGGCTGTCCTGGAACTTGCTATGTAGACCAGGCTGGCCTTGAACTCAGAGATCCACCTGCCTCTGCCTTCCAAGTGCTGGGATTAAAGGCATGCACCACCACTGCCTGGCCAAGAACAATGATGTTTTAACAAATAATTCAAACTGTCCTCTTCATCAGAGGTGACACAGGATCTACCTGGGCAACAGGGACAGGGATGGTCCACTTGGAAGTTTTTCCAGTCTCTGGTTAAGATTTTAAAAATTGAAGTTGATTTGTAGGAGGGCAGACATTTCTGTGATTCAGGACCCTTTCTCCTATGGAGACCAGAGTACAGGACTCTTTCTCCCACGGAGATCAGGGTACAGGACCCCTTCTCCCTGGAGACCAGGGTACAGGACCCCTTCTCCCTGGAGACCAGGGTCCAGTGCTATTTTTCTTTTTCCTATACGGATGGAAGCAGCCAATCAAAGTTAGTAGCCTTACATTATCTCGACTTATCTGTCTACATTTAGAATAATGACAAATTTCTTTTGTTGTTTTAAAAATTCAGCAGTATTTATCTATATGGCATTAAGAAACCTTTTTATCTTACCAAGTTCATTCATTGCATGTCTATGCTCTTCATCAAATGACAGTTTCATTAGAACACACACAGCAGGACAGATCTGATGTTCAACAGGAGCGGGCACTGAAAAATAAAATCACCTAAGCCGTGACCTCTGTTAGCTTGGAAGGATGCTATTACACTTCTCAGATGTGCAGCGTTAGTACTGTGTCCCGAATGTATGGAAGGGTAGCAGATGGACAAATCTTTGCTGAATGTTGAATACACACCACAGCTGCGGAGCAGCAACTGTGTCAAGGGCTCCTGCGCCCCAGCATGCCCAGCACTTGCCAGCCTTGAGCAAGCCTGCCAGACTAATCTCCCACAGGTTTTGCTCTAGCTCATGTGTGTAATCATTTTAAATGAGGACTCCATGAAAGAAAAAGCACACTTTGGTAAAACACTGTTGGATTTTGTTTCTAATGTAAGTGTAAGTCACCATGATGGTTATGGATTAAAAGCTATGGTTGCATACAAATGTGATACCTAGCAGAAAGTTTCCTATATAGATACATAGTAAAAATTTAAAGAAAAAGATATTCAAGAAAATGCACTTATATCTTTAATATCATATGCAAGGTCTCAAGTCACTATTTGACACAAAGCATTTTTAAAGTAGTTTTTTTCAGGAGCAATAATACGACTTATTAAATAATTGTGGGTACCCCACCATCAAGAAAGAAAGGTTCTCCAAACAAAGTGTTTATTAGCTCTCACTCCAAGGCTCCCTAAGTGGATTAAAAACCATCATCCCTGCTCTTTTTCTTATACATCTTTAAGATTTGAAATAATCTTTACATTAAGCTTAGAAAAACTCTGCTATATAGGCTCAAGGACATATGAAAGTGTTTTTAGCATAAGCCTCAGTTTCATTTCTCAATGGAGACAATAACACCTTTCCTTTCCTTGTACTACATCAAGGCTACTGTGAGGGCCAAGAAACAACAGGTAGTGTGTGCCCAGGGAATGCTGATAAGGAAATGTAAAGGGTTACGGCTTCGTTGCTAACAGTTGAAGGAACTTATGTAAAATCACCTTCCATTCAAAAGGCAACTTAACTGCTCACATTGATTTTAGCTCTACTAAGTAACTTTTTCTTTTTGTGGTGCTTTGCAACAGGGTCTCGTGACATAGGCTGACTCTGAATTCTGTAGAGTCCAAGATGACCTTGAACTCCTAATCCTCTTGTCTCCATCTCCCAAATGCCAAGATTACACACACGAGCCATCAAAGCAGCTAGCTTTAAGTTTTCACTACAAATTTCTTTTGGCTTGTTCTTCTGGAAAGCTCGCCTGGAGGTTCTAGCAGGGACTGCTGCTACTCATATATCCCTGACTGAATGATGGTCCTCCTCTTCTAGGGAAGGTCATCCTCTTCAATTGCGTACTCAGTTTTGGGGGAAGCAATAAAGCAGTGTGGGAGGAAAGGAACGCCTGCCCAGCCATATCACCCTCACATCTGATTTGCTTGTTCTGTTTTGATTGCACAGTAGTACACATAACATTTTCCTTTGCTAAAAATTTTTAGGGAAATGCAGATTTAAGCCTTTAATGTGTTAGCAGCATTAGCTAGCTAATACAAATCCCTTCTATTCATAAAGACAGCATCCTAACTAAAGAGTTTCTAAGCTACAGCTTACATACGTATGCTTTGAAACATGCAATGCGATTGATGTATACTATAGACAACATACTTGGATTTTTGTCCTGGTCCATGCCTTGTTCATGGGCTTCCTGCCACTCCCAACAGGTTTCACAGTAAGCGCGTATCTGTTCCAAAAGATGAAGGACTCGGATTTCACGCCTGCCTCTCTTGTCATCAGGCTGTGAGTGAATGATGTTGTGGAGTGCTGCACTGGCCCTGGCCCGAGCCTCTTTACTGCCCCGGGAATTTCCCAACAATACCGAGTCTTTGTCATTGCCATGTAAAAGCTGGATGAGGAGAGGAAGACATCCAGACTGTCGCATGGATATACAGCTGTCTTGGGAGCTAGACATAGCTAGCAAAGTTCGCGACATATCGTCCTTATCATGAGTACCAAGCATTGACAACAATGAGTACACCATTTCCACCTGTGGGCCAAATGAGTTTAGAAACACATTATGACTTTAATACCCAAAAGCCAGATTAATGAAGTGATGAATGGGATTATTTACTAAATTTATTAAAAATTAAAACAAAACAAAATAGAAAAAAAACTTTTCTGGATGAAGTGATGAGTGCTATTTCAAAATAACATCCACAGTTGATTTATGTGAATAAATAATAATATTGCAAACTGTTGGGAAAAAAAAAGTAGGTTCTTACAGTACTGAAATTGCTATTTGCCTGCATCAGCTAACGCTAACTGATTACTATGAATGAAAATAATTAATTTTTCCTTTCTCTCACATACCCACTCATTCACATTCTCTCTCTTTCTCTGGAATGTGTTTTAATTTAAATTCTCTATATAACTTAAAACTTCATTTTACTTGTAAGCAATAGAAAATGCTTTGCAACAATTATAATCTACTAAATGCTAATTCTTTGCAATCATTACATTTCAGTAGGATAATTACAACATTTAAATTTATATGATCTGTTATCATATAAAATTATTTTGTCATAAAAAGAAAAATGCCACAATCACATAGAGAGTGGCAAAGCTAAGAATTGTTATTCTTTTCTTTTCTTTTTTTTAAAAAGAAATTGGTAAGCATCAGTAGCTTTAGCAATAAATTGGAAGGATTAACTTAGAAGCAAATTAGAAATAGAAAAACAGCATCCAGTTAACATGGATTGTTATCAGCTTCCCTTCAAAGTTAGAGGATATGCCATAAAAAGGAGAGTATTACATGAAGAATGCATCATATGTTTAAGTCAGAGATCCACAAGGACACAACTGACTGTATCTTTAATATCAGACATATTTTTGGTCTTAATAACAGTGGTATATTAGTGTTAGGGGCATCTTGTAGAGGCCAGGAGTGTTGCTTAACACCCTACAGTGTAACAAAGAATGACCTAGCCCATGTTGTTGAGGTTGCAAAATGCTGCTCTGAATGTGTAAACACACTTTCCAGTGGTGCTGATCCTATTATGGCAGTGATAGGACTGGGGACAATGTGTTCTCATCAGATCTAGGTTTAAAGTTTGGCTCCATCTCTTTAAGCAAGCTTTGTGATACTGGTTAGTTGACTTGATGTCTCTTGAGCATCAGTTTTCTGAGCTGCGAAGTGGAGGGACGTACATTACACAGAAAACTATATAAAATAACAGTCTGGCATTCAAACTGTATAGCAAAGCCTGGCTATTCTTATGCACCAATCACTTCTAAAGGAAATGCACCCTGACTGCCAGTGTCCATGTGCCAACAGTCAATACTGTGTTGATGCTGAACCAATCCAGTCAGCTGTAGATGCTAATGTCCCAGGCAGCTTCTTCCTTTTCAATTTCTCCCTCAGAGGGATAAGAATACAAGTGTTTGAGAGAATTGGTGAGAATGTAGAGGCAACTCCTTACTGGCATACCTCGGAGCAGTCCCACATAGAAACTATCATGGATTAGCACTGATTACTCAAGTTCATTTCTTTAATTTTTAATGTTTCTTCTTAATGAATCAAGTCCAGAGCCTTGGGCATGCTAGGCAAGCATTCTACCAATGATTTATATCCCTAGCCCTAGAATTCATTTCTTAAATTAGTATTAGTTATCTCAGTGTTCGCTAAGCACTGCCATATTATTTGAAGAGAACACAGAGTATGCTAGGAAGACAATGTAATTCTTCAGTTCTGACTGAAAGCATATTGCTCAGAATTCCATCTTAGTAAAATACTAAAGTGATTTACTTCTCACACATTTCCCCTAATCTTAAAATATTGGTTGCACTGCTAATGTTCAATTTCAATGATTTTTCCATCCATTTCAATAAATATTCATTAACAATCATTTGCAGATACTATCGATGCTGAAGACAGAGAAAAACAATCTGTTTTCTAAGAGAGTTTCATGCCAACTGTTAACGATAGGGACAAAGGAGGCAAATGGCTAAGGGGACTCGAGGAACTAAGAAAACGTCTTCTGGAGACGCATGCTCAGAGTCCTGAGCTGTGCAAAGTCAGTGGCAGGCACAGCACAGGAGTGACAGGCACGGGGTGGGGGTTGAAGAAGTCAGTCTGGCTGGAGCTTAGGATGCTAGCAGGTAAATGAATAATGAGCTGAAAGAGAAATTAACAGGCACCTAATTCAGGAGTTTTTGTAAGTCTCATTTTCTCTTGTTTATGTTTCTTTGTATAAAAACGTCACTTCCCCCCCAGGAGACTGAGTCAGCATCTTTAGAGAATGTCCATAAAGACCATCTTAGCAAAGCATTCCTAGCCGCGGCAAGAGGATTTGCAATCTGCCATTACCTTGGTCCCCAGATGACTTGTCAGCCTTCGAGGAGCAGAGTGTGTGCTGCCAGAACTCAGAACACTGGCTGTTTCATGATCCACTCGTGTGGCTGAACTCTAGAAATGAAGCAGATTCCAAACAGGGTAATTTAGATACAAATACAGGCGACTCCTAAGCTCTCCCGCTCTAGGAGGGCTCACTGAAATTCTATGAGGGAAAGAGGAAAAATAAATAACTACAGTACAACCTAACCCAGCACCCCAGCAGAAGACTGCACAAAATCCCGGAGGAAAGCAGGAGGCGGCGATGGCGGCTGTGGATGATGAGAGCTGCATGTATCACAACGAAGGTAGCTCGGCAGACGAACATGGAGAGCGGGGTGGATTAAATAACTATGGGAGGGGGGCTTTAAAAGGTGTTATATTCATGCCGGGCGGTGGTGGCGCACGCCTTTAATCCCAGCACTCGGGAGGCAGAGCCAGGCGGATCTCTGTGAGTTCGAGGCCAGCCTGGGCTACAAAGTGAGTTCCAGGAAAGGCGCAAAGCTACATAGAGAAACCCTGTCTCAAAAAACCAAAAAAAAAAAAAAAAAAAAGATGTTATATTCAAGTTGCGAGTCACTGAACTTTAGGGGGCAGACCAACAAAATCAGAATTATATTTTAAAAAGAACAAAGGACAGGATGGAAAAGCCAAGAGATTAGAAAAGATTTTAGATATAAACCAACAAATTCATGGCCTTTATCTAGGCTCAAAGTCAAATAAAACATGATAAACACATTTGTGAAACAATAGCAAATGAATCATGACAGGCTATCCAATGCTATAAAGGAACCACTGGTTTCTTTGGGGATATAATAATGACATCAGGTATATATTTTGAAAAGCGTTCTTAGCTTGGAAATGCACAGTAAAATATTTATGAAACAAATGATGGAATATTCTTCAGAAACAAAACGGGTAGTTGCTGTGGATATCGCTCTGTATAAATAAAATGCTGATTGGCCAGTAGCCAGGCAGGAAGTATAGGCAGGACAAGCAGAGAAGAGAATTCTGGGAAGTGGAAGGCTGAGGCAGAGAGCCACTGACAGCCGCTGCCATGAGATGTTAAGATACCGGTAAGCCACGAATCACGTGGCAACTTATAAGTGAATAGAAATGGGTTAATTTAAGATATAAGAATAGTTAGCAAGAAGCCTGCCATGGCCATACAGTTTACAAATACTATAAGTCTCTGGGTGTTTACTTGGTTGGGTCTGAGCGGCTGAGGGACTGGTGGGTGAGAGAGATTTGTCCTGATCGTGGGCCAGGCAGGACTGGAAAAAACTCTAGCTACAGGTAGTCAAAGTGGATGTGACCTATATGGATCACTATTACTTTGCCTTTGTGCCAGTTGGAATCGCCTGTGCATGGCTTCTCCCCCTGGTCCATCTTCCTGGACTTGTGCTTGAACTTCATTACTACCTACAGACGCTACCAAAGATCTTCAAACAGACAAGCTGAGACCCCATTAAGGAATGGATTCTATATAAACAAGCAGGGATAGCCTGAGTCATTTACTTATAGCCTTTCCTACCATTTAACTTTCTGAGGAAATAAACACAGATCAAGAAATCCTCTTCCTAGCAAGGATATCAGTTCTCCTTTATAACCACTAGTCATACACTCAATTATTTAACCACCAATTATTTATGAGGGACTGTGGTATATAAACACAAACAGGATTTTTTTTTTCTTTTTTTTTTAAGACAAGGTCTCAATATGTAGCTCTGGCTGGCCTCAAACTCGGCTTGCCTCTGCCTCTTGAGTGCTGGGATTAAAGGTATGCGCCACTATAACCGGCATAAATTCTTTTTTTTTTTTTTTTTTTTTTTTAAGATTTATTTATTATGTATACAGCATGTGTGCCTGCAGGCCAGAAGAGGGCACCAGATCTCGTTACAGATGGTTGTGAGCCACCATGTGGTTGCTGGGAATTGAACTCAGGACCTCTGGAAGAGCAGTCAGTGCTCTTAACCTCTGAGCCATCTCTCCAGCCCCGGGCATAAATTCTTTATATTTGAGACAGGGTCTTGTTATGTGACCCAGGCTATCCTCAAACTCAGTCTTCCTGACTCAATCTTCCCAGGCTGTGATTACAGGTGTCCACCAGCACTCTTGGCATGACAGAATTTTTGCATTTTTGGAGCTTGTAGTCTAGTGGGGGAAATAAACCTATCAACCAAATAATCAGACAAATAAATGTAAACCTGAAAGTGTGGGAGTCTTCCAAGGAAGGAGCATGCTATGACAGCCTGCCTCTAACTGAGTGTTGATCTAGTTTGTCTGAGACACACAAGAACAGGGGTTAACGGAGCAACAGGAGATGAGAACAGCACTACCTGGAGCAGAGAGAAGGGTATTTACTGCAGAAAGAGGAAGCCCAGGAATCCAGAGGGCATCATGGCTCAAGTGGTGAGAGCAGGCTCTGCCCTGCAGCTGACTGTACATACGGTCAAGGGACAGATGGTCAAGAATTACCTGTAGTCTAAGAACTAAGATAGCGTTGGGAAAACCGATTCACAAAGAGGAGAGTATTTGCAAAGATCATTCTCACAGAGTAAATGGAAGGCAAGTCAGGGAGAGAGAAGGAGTAAAAGCAAGGGCATGTCGTCGGTAGGTGGTACAAGTAACATATCAAGGCTGGCGCGTGGTGACTAATCTGTGATGCTGAGGACATCAATGAGTTTTCATTCTTAATGAATGCCAGTGGTTTTTGTTTCTGGAACAAATACTAAAGTAAATTAATAAGCCTCAAGATGCTGTGATGTATACAGATTCTATCAAGGTAGGCTGAAAGGCCAGGTCTGGTGGTGCATGCATCAGCCTTTCAAATGGCTGGGACTAATGTTTAAAGAAACTTGGCAAAATGAATACTAGGTGCACTGATGAAGACTACTTGTCTACATTGGGATTTGAAAGCAGTGACTGATAATAGTAACTAAATATACAGTGTTGGTGGGGTTAATGTCAAACAAAACAAAAGAATTCATTATTTGAAGGAGGACTAAATACAGGGTCCTGAATTACTGCTTTCTTTTTTTCTTGAGACAGTGTCTCTCTGTGTAGTTCAGGCTGGCCTGGAACTCACTATGGAGCCGGCTGGACTTTTCCCTCGCATCTGAGCTCAGTTTTCAGTGTTGGGATTACTGGTCCATGCCACCGTGACTCATTTACCCCTTTCAGTAGATCCTTCCTCGGCCATTCTCACACTAAATGAATAACATGAGGCTTCAAACAGGACTCTGGGGAAACCTTACATGACAGAAATGGAAATCAGCACAGTATTTTCTTCTATTTTCCCAAAATAAAAACGCTTTATAGTTGTCATACACTGTAAAGACCTGACACTTCTTAAAAAGTTAACAAATGTATGAACAGTTAAACAAAAGCTACAACAATCTCAACACATGATGATAGCTACCTGTGACACTGACCTAGACATTTCTCTATACAGACGCACATAAACATATGTACAGTGAATTATCTCACTAGCCTTCTTGTGCCCATTTTGAAGCATCTTTAAATAGCTGACTTGTATATATATTTTTAAATAGCTGACTTCTATATCTCTTTTAATTTTTTTGCTTTCTATAAATGTTTGGAAATAGTATAATCTTGCCTTTTTTGCTGTGGTTCTGAGACAAGGTCTTTTGTAACATAGGCAGGCCTCTAACTGTCTTTGTAGCCAACAGTAGCCCGAACTCCTGAATTTACTGTTTCTACCTCCCAAGTTCTAGGATTATAGACATGTGCCACTATGCCCAACTTTGATCTTGACTTTTTATTTTATTTATTTGTTTGTTTATTTATTTTTTGGTTTTTCGAGACAGGGTTCTTTCTATGTTGCCCTGGTTGTCCTGGAACTCACCACTGCCCAGCTGATCTTGACTTTTAAAGGTCAAGCTCCTCGAGGACTAGCTTTCAGAGAAGATGTTATTCAAGTTGATAAGAGATGGAAGCAATTAACAATCCTACCCAGCTGTGACACCTATGAACATAACAAAAACCAGTGTGGTAAGGGAGCTGGGAGGTGGTAGTGAACATCTTCAATCCCAGCACTCAGGAGGCAGAGGGAGGTGAATCTCTGAGTTTGAGGCCAGCCTGGTCTACACTGCGAGTTTCAGGACAGCCAGGGCTCCATGGAGAAACCCTGTCTGAAAACAACAAAACAAAACACAACAAAAGAACTCCCTGAGGGTGCACAGTGGCACTCACAGCTTGGCGTAACCAACAGTTGCCTAACTGGACTTAAGGCCAGCTAAACAGGAGGGAAATGAAATCATGCCTGGAACTGGAAACCTAGCCAGCTACCCAGGGCAAGTGAGATAATGGATCTTAGAGGAGACTATTACCGATAAATAGTTTATTAAACCAGCAAACTTCCTAACTGCACTCTAGATACTTATCTTTATACCTGCAGATCAGTGTCGCTCTCATCCTTCATCAAAGAAGCTTCTCTTTGAAATAGATGGAGACCATTATAAAAGTCAAAATGCAGAAAAACTGACTGTGTGGTGCCTAGCACCCATGAACACATCTACAACACAACTCTTGACCCTAAAGCACAGGGAACATCTCAGAAGAGACCAGGAAATCTGCTGTGAGACTGTGTCTCTTAGAAAAAACTAGGAAGCTTCAGTCATGATGCACAATATGGTTGCTTAAACAAGATCTGAACAAGGACAACATAAATAGCCAGGCTAATGTGGAAGGGGGTACGTAGTGGGTGGGGTGGGGTGGAGGCATGCCTAGACAAAAGAACTATAGGCAACTAAAAATTCGGAGAGCGAAAGAATTAGTCTTCTTCAGGACGAGTCCCATAACTGGTTATCCAATACCAAGTGGTCAGCCCTGCAATCACGAACATTCAAGCAACACTACACAGCAGGAGCAGGTTCTGTTTATATATGCATGTGTTATATGTATGCATATATATGCAGTAATAACAAAGAAAAAGAGGTCATGAATTTGAGGGAAGGGCAGATAGAGGAACACTGGAGGGACTGAAGGGCAGAAAGGGAAGGGGGAAAATGATGTAATTATATTTTAAAAAGGGTAAAAGTAAAAAAATAATTCCACTTGTAAAAATTTTAATTAAATAATTCATTTTACATTTATGAGTGTGTTGTGGAATACTAGTTTAAGATGTGTTACATTCATTTATGCTGTGGAATATTTGTTTAATGATGCAAAGAGGTGTTGTATTTGTTTAACTCTGTGAAGCTGCGTTACTTTGCCTGCCTAAAATACCTGATTGGTCTACTAAAGAGCTGAATGGCCAATAACTATGCAGGAGAGAGAACTAGGTAGAGCTGGCAGACAGATAGAATAAATAGAAGGAGAAATCTAGGGAAGAGATTGAGGAGTGAGAAAAGGAGGAGAGGTGGACACCAGGGGCCATCCACCCAACCACACAGCCAGCCACATAGTAAGAAGGAAAGAAAGATATATAGAATAAAGAAAGGTAAAAAGCCCAGAGGCAAAACGTTGTTAAAGAGAAACAGGATAATTTAAGTTAGAAAGCCGGTTAGAAACAAGCCAAGCTAAGGCCAGGCATTCATAAGTAAGAATAAGTCTCCATCTATTTATTTGGGAGCTAGGTTGTGGGGCCCCCAAAGAGTAAAATTAAAACAAACAAACAAAAACAACTACATGGGTGTTTTGTCTGCATGTATGTCTGTGTTTGACATGAGTGCTTGGTGCCCTTGAAAGCCAGAAAAGGACATTGAATCCCCTGGGACTGAAGTGAGCCCTCATAGGGCTGCTGGGACTTGAACCTGGGTACTGTGGAAGAACGGGTCAGTGCTGTTAACTGCTGTCCTGTCTCTCCAGCACCTGATTGTGACTTCTGTTGTCTAACAATTTTGTTTCGATGTCCTCAGACACTAAAGTATTCACATTCTTCTGAAACCTACTGATCCTTCTTTTGTGGTTTTTCCACTCACTTCATCATAAAGATTTCCTTCTAATCTTTTTATATTTGCAAGTCTCCATTTCTGATATTTAGTATAATTAACTTAAAGAGTTGTTCTAACCAATATAGATAGCTTCTACCAGATGAGTAATACTTTTAAAGTACACAGTAATTAGAATATGGCCTGAACCCTGAACAAGTAATTGTCAAATGAAACTGAACTCTTCTTCCTTCTACACTGTAGGAATACCTAGTTCTCAAAAACAAACAAACAAACAAACAAACAAACCCCCCCAACAAAACAAAACAAAAAACCCACAAACAAACAAAAAAACACCCCTCAAACCTTCTACTTAACTCTCATTATTTTATCCTACTTCACCACTAAATAATCTTCCTGTATAGTGCTAACTAATGATGCAGAATGAAGTACCTGCTTTAGCTCAGTAAAAGGAAATCTTTAAACAGGAAATTTTTTTTTTTTTTTTTTTTTTTTTTTTTGGTTTTTCGAGACAGGGTTTCTCTGTGTAGCTTTGCGCCTTTCCTGGGACTCACTTGGTAGCCCAGGCTGGCCTCGAACTCACAGAGATCCGCCTGGCTCTGCCTCCCGAGTGCTGGGATTAAAGGCGTGCGCCACCACAGCCCGGCTCGAAATTCTATTTTTTAAATATCATTCATTTACAACAAAGTGTCTGCTGAAGGAAATTTGAGAAATATAGGACACACCAATGAAAAGCTGTCATATTATTTCGATAAACTACTAATTGAAAATTGGTGGCAATTTGTACAAATGGTAAAAAATAACAGCTAAACATGATAAAGTATATAGCTTATTGTTTATAAGCACCAGAATAACCAGTTATTTTCCAGTTAAGATTTATTTCTAGCTTTGTGTAATCTTGAAGTACATCAGAAAGTAAAAACTGTAAGAGCCTTTGTGATCATTACAAACCCAGGAAAATGTCTCTGTACCGAGAGCCTTGGAGGAAAGCAGAACTCTGCCAACGCAGCAGCAACAGGGTCAACCGCTCGGAACTAACTGCTCTCCAAAACTACACACACCGGGCATGGCGACCAACACAGAAACATGATCGGAGCACAAAAATAGTCCAGCAAACTCAGAAAGTGTATTTCAATGAAACAAGGAGAAAGGGATAGTACTCTGATCCTGAATGTTTCCAAAGACACACATTCTAAGCAAACAGGATTTGTGGATCATCCACCCAACACTCCTTTTTAAATTCTGAGTTAACCTGAAAAATGACATAATGGTTCATACCTGGCCACTACCAGAAGTTGCCATGTTGCTTTCGGCCACTCCTGGACCTTCATGCTGCCGTTCAGCTTCATGGGAGGCAGCAGCTTCATGCTTGCTCTGAGATGACCTCTGTTAACATGGAGTTAGCATCATTACGGACAACATGGTGGATGCTTTTACAGCTCACAGCTTAACTTTACTTCCAAGCTCTTAATGAATCAATTATACAGGCTGACAAAGACACAGAAGTGCACGCTACACTTCCAACTTCCAGCACGGCTTGCAGTCGACTATCCTGGTGAGAGGGAAGAGAAGTCTTCCCTTAAGCATTGAGCTGCGTAAGACAAAGGGTTTCTGAGGGTCACAGAAACGCATCCTCCACCAGACATGCTCCTCTCACTATCAGGAGTACAATCCTTTCCCACAAGGTCACATGACTGTGGCATTAATGGAGCTGCAAATACAGCAGTTAAAATAGCACCTAAGCTTAGAAATAGCTCCCGTGTAGGCATACTTTTACAGAGAATATGTGCACATCTGCTAATGTCATATGAAACCAAATGATAAGCTCTTCGAAACTGAGAAACAAAAGAGAAAACTCTGCTAATGTAGTCACCATCTGTTATATGAAATAAAAGTGACATATTATACCTAGTAAATGTAGTCAGTTCAAAACAGGTAATACAAAGTGACCACTTTGTAAAATAGCATCACAGGACATAAGAAATAAAATAATCTACCACCATCTTTTATAGAAACTCTTATTTTCTTGCTTTAGGAAAATGCTACTCTATTAATATAAACATTATGCTTTAGAAATCTGACATAAAAGTGTATCATTATATTTAAAAATGCTTTCCCTAGAATTTTAACCCTTAAGCCTTCCTAGACCATTTAAAAATATGACTTAAAAAAATAACTTTACGTGTACCATTTTCACCATAAACTAGTAATAGCTGTAGCTAAGCAAAAGGGAAGTGATTTGGTAATTCAGAAGCAGAAGACCCAAATCAACCAGAGTAGAAATACACAGTCTCCCTAAGACAAAAACGAGTCCAAGATTATGAAGACCACAAAGACACGGCAGTAGTGCAAGTGGAGATGTCAATGTGTTTTCAGACAAACACATCACTACCCGTCTGTCCTAAGCGCCAAGTAACACGATGCTACTAAACCCAGCCACTAGTCAATCTTCTTTCTCAGTTCAGTCTAGTGGGACGCTGTCAAATAAGGAAAGCAGTAACAAGAAGTCAAAGCCTGACAGTACTACGAAGGAAAACTGAGGTGTATGAAGGACAGCGCAGCAGTGCTTTTAGAAGTGCCGCTGGAATGAAGGCGGATGACTAGGAGAAAGAATATTCTAGGAAAACCAGGGACCACATGCAAAGGAGCTGGAGCAGGAGCAAGTGTGACTTCTTGTAATTTATCAAAAGGTCACAATATTGCTGAAGTGCACAAGTAAAATGGTGAGCAGAATTAAAGTGGTTAAGGGGACTGGACAGATGGCTCAGTGGTTAAGAGCACTGGCTTCTAGAGGACCCAAGCTAGAGCTCTGGCACCCACAAGGTGGCTTACAACTGTCTACTACTCCAGTCCTAGGGGGTCTGGTGATCTCTTCTGGCTTCCACTGACACACAAGCAGGCAAAGACACTCATACACATAAAATAATTTAAGCTGGCAGTGGTGGTGCACACACCTTTAATCCCAGCACTCGGGAGGCAGAGGCAGGCGGATCTCTGTGAATTCAAGGGCAGCCTGGTCTATAGAGAGAGTTCTAGGATAGCCAGAGCTACATAGAGAAGCCCTGTCTCCAAAAAAAAAAAAAAAAAAAAAGGTGGTTTTTAAAGTGTACTGATTTTGTTGGATTTGCCTTTTCCAAGTTATTCTGAGGCTCCCACCCCACTGTCCTCACTTTCTTTACTTACAGACAGTCTCATGTACCCCAGGCTGGCCTCACACTGGGATTAAGGATCAGTGCAGGCAAATGTCTGAAAAGTTAGAGGCTGGCAAATGAGATTGTCACCTTGCTTGAGAACTACCATGGAAAGTGTTTCCCAGGTTCTGCTGCCGTGGTGCACAGATAGGGTAAGAACTGGTCAGGCTACCCATCCCTCATACTGGCAGTACAAGTGAACGGGGCTGCCCATGTGGTTCTGCAGGCATGCAACTTCAAGAACTTTAGCTCATGAAAACTTGCACTAAGAGTCCAGGAAGCCACTGGGGACATGTGGCAGAGGTAAAGTCCCTGTGAGGAGGCCCGAGAGGCCACTCACGAGGCTGGGAAGGCAAAGCTTAAACTGCAATGAAGAGCTCGGTGTATCAGAGGTGGGAAGACTGTGACGTGTCCTCAAGAGAGCTGCACACATGGAAGAGAAACAGCCAACAGAGGCTGCATGCACCGCAGGAGGCAGAACTGGCGAGCAAGGGCAGCGTCTGGAGTCTGCCATGCTGGGTTTCCCACTTACTTTGGTCTGATCTTCCCTTGCTATCCTCCCAGTCCTTCGTGTTGGAATGGGAATGTTTGCTATGTAGCTGAGGTTGGGCCTTGAACTACTGATCCCCCTGCCTCTGCCTTCTGAGTGCTGGGTAACAGGAATGAATTACTGGCTGGGCTAAAAAATAAATAAATAATTAATTAAAAGCAATTCTGCTTAAGCAGTCAAGTGCCCCAAAAATGTACCCATTAAGTGTTCAATGAAATGACTTCCAATGAATTTACCAACCATCATTACAATCCAGTTTTAGAATAGTTTTATCATTACAATAAGCTTTCTCCAGTCCATCAATCAGTACTACCGTTCCACTGTATGTAACATTTTAAAAATGTTACAGTTGGTATTTTGTTGTATGCAGTCATGGAAGTACCCTAAGTCTCAAAAGAGAGTGGATTTTTGAACAGTGTTAGAACTGATAAGACTACGGAATGTCTTTAGAGATGGACTAAATGCACTTTGTGTTACGAGGTGGCCATGACTCTCTGAGGGTCAGGATGGAATCACCTAGGAGTGTGACAGTACCACCGAGGAGCTGGGGTTTGGGACTGAACACAAAGGGGAGAAAGGAGAAAGCACAGAGCACCAGCATTCCTCTCTCCTTATCCTGACTGCTCATGCAGTCAGACCAGTTACTTCTCGCCCTTGCTGCCATGCCCGGGTATACCCAGCAAGACAGGCTGTATTTTCCCAAGCTGCTTTCTCTCTTAATTTGTGCCTGATATTCTGCTACAGGGGATGAAGCATTATTCTAATGATCCCTGGCTCACACAATTCCTACAGATAAATGAAAAGGTGGCTGGAAACTGAAGTGGAGAAGGTGGCCGCTAAGGGGGTAGGTGGGCTTTTGTTGCTTTGTTTTGGGACCCAGGTCTCAGTGCAGCCCTGGCTGGCCTGGAACTCACTGTAGACCAGGCTGGCCTCCAACTCAGATTTGCCACACCCTGCCTACTGAGCGCTGGGATCAAAGGTGTGCGCCATCACACTCAACTGTTCACTGGGTTTTTGATTTGCTGGATTTAAAATCTTTGACAAATCCTAAGTGGTGATACATGGCAGGAACATGAATTAAGAATCTGGAGCTCAGGCCTAGAAAAGTACACTGGACAGCATAAAGACAGCACCTAAAGCCTTCCAACATCAAGTGAGCTGTCTGAGTAGAGAAGACGTGAGGGCTGCCTGGGCCCCTTTCTTTCTGCCCGTCCCTTTTCTTCCTCACTGATCCCGGACTGAAGCACATCTGTACTCTTGGACCACTGTCTTCCATCACTGTTCTAGACACAAGAGAGGCTGCTGCTGACTTCTAGGAAACACAAGTGTCTACAGTCCTATAGCCCTGTATAATGGAAACAGTTTCCTACCCTAGGTGACAGGACTGAGAAAAAGATTGTTTCTTGAGGCAGGGGCTCATGTAGTTTAGGGTGGTCTTGAACTTGCTACATAGCTGAGGCTTGGCCTTGAACTACTGATCCCCCTGCCTTTGCCTTCTGAACGCTGGGTAATAGAAGTGCATTGCTGGCCTGGCAAATAGATAGGTAGGTAGGTAGATAGATATAGATAAGATAGGTAGGTAGATAGATGATAGGTAGGTAGACAGATATAGATGGATGGATGGATGGATGGATGGATGGATGGATGGATAGATAGATAGATAGATAGATAGATAGGAAGGAAGGTAGATAGGTAGGTAGATAGGGAGGTAGATAGACAGACAGATATGTAAGTAGGTAGACAGATATAGATAAGATAGGTAGGTAGACAGACAGACAGATAGGGAGGTAGATAAAAGCAGTCGAGTGCCACAAAATATACCCATTAAGTGTTCAATTAAAATGATTTTCAATAAATTTACCAAGCACCACCATAATCCAGTTTTAGAACACTTTAATCATTACAGTAAGTTCTCTCTCACCTAGTCAATCCACATTACCACTCACAGCACCAGGCAGCAGCTGATCTACTTTGTTCTGTTCTGAGTTTTTGTTTGGGAGAGAGGGTATTGCTATGTTGCCCAGGCTGGTCTTGAAACTCAATTCCCCTGCCTCTGCCCCACAAGTGCTGAGATGACAGAGGCCTGTGCTACCTTGCCTAAGTTATATCTTTATAAATTGTTGTTTCTGGGCATTTAATTAAAAAAAAAAAGTGTGTGCTTTGTGTGTGCGTGCAGTTGTGGAGGCCCAAAGCTGACGCTGGTTGTCTTCCGTGAGGTCACCCCCCACTCTATATACTGAGGCAGGGTCTCTCCCTGATTCCACAGCTCACCAATTCGAGCTGGTGTGGCTGCCTAGCCAGCTTGCTTTGGTGAAGCCATAGATCTATGGCTTTTATGTGGGCTCTGGCTGTCCTAACCCTGGTCCTCACACTTGCATGGAAAGTGCTTTATCCACTGAGCCATTTCCGCAGTCTTCTGGGAATTTTATAAATGGATTTATGTGGTTTATTTTATTTAATAAGTTTTCAAAAGTCATCCACTTTATACTTACAGTAGCCAATTTTAAGTACAGTTCATAACAGTATCACGTTTGTACTGTTTCTCCTTTAAGGATACAACAAATAAAGTTGCTAGACTAACTTAAAAAACATGGGGTAGGTAATATGACCTCATTTCTTTTAGACACCTGGGAATGGGATTGTTGGGTTAGATGGCAATTTTACATCTGGAGGAACTGCCAGTATTTTCAGGTGCACATTTTACATCTTCAAATACAAATCAAAACCCACAAATAAACTTGCAACAGAGTTGGAAATGAGGGGTTACGGGCCGATCCCAAGAGAGCATATGACAGATATTTTCACCTCCCACCACCTCACTTCATCTCTGGACTCTGCAATGTGTCTTCCATTTGGCTCTTGTGTCCCTTACAATAAAAGTAGAATAGAGAATCATTTACGGATAGAACTGTTAGTGAATCCTGAGTATTCTGGAGGTCTGCAAAGGCCTGAATTTTTAAACTGCTCGACAGTAAGTGTGGATGGTTTTAGACCCCAAATGACCGGTGTGACAGTGAATCTCATTTGTCAATTTGAGATCTGGAATCACCTGGGAGACAGGCCTCTGGGAATGCCTGTGAAGGATTTTATTTATCAAGTTAACTGAGTTGGGAAGACCTCTAGTTCTATGATCTTTCTTACCAGAACCTTCTTAAATGTCTAGTAGTTATTAGTGTCCATGCATACTGAAGAGCTGACTAGCTACGAAAAAGTTCAATGAAGTTTGCCCTCTACAGTGACCAATTGGGCTAGCCGTGTTTCTTAGAGAAGCTTGTGTTGCTTCCAGAAGCTTGCCAGAGAAGACAAGGTTGGAGGAAGGCAAGAGTTTCACCACTAAGTACATTTTCAACTAATTCATCTTTTTTTTTTTAAAGATTTATTTATTTATTATACATAGTGTTCTGTCTGCATGTGTCCCTGCAGGCCAGAAGAGGGCACCAGATCTCATTACAGATGGCTGTGAGCCACTATGTGGTTGCTGGGAACTGAACTCAGGACCTCTGGAAGAACAGTCCGCGCTCTTAACCACTGAGCCATCTCTCCAGCCCTAATTCAGCTTTTTATAGAGTATTTCCAGCTTTAATTATACTAGGTCTACTGTGACCTAATCAAAGATCCTTATTTTTGGAGGGGGGGGAGTGGCTCAACTTATTTTCTGTTAGGATTGAAAAGAGGAACAGCAAGCAGTTGTGTTAAAATGGGAAGCAGTTTTGGGGCTCACTTGCTTTTTAAAATTTTATTTTAGTTGTACGGGTGTTTTGCCTTCATGTATGGGTGCACCACAGGGTGGAGGGGGATCACACCTTTAATCCCAGCATTTGGGAGGCAGAAGCAGGCGAATTTCTGAGTTTGAGGCCAGCCTGGTCTACAGAGTGAGTTCCAGGACAGCCAGGACTGTTACACAGAGAAACCTTGTCTCTAAAAACCAAAACCAGCAAAACCAAACAACTCAAAACCAAACAAACCCAAAACCCAACCAAACTATAACAAAAGAATGTATGTGCACCATGGGCAAGCCTGCTACCAATGGAGGCCAGGAGAGAGAGAGCATCAGATCTCCTAGAACTGGAGGTACAGGTGGTTGTAAGCCAACATGCAGGTGCTGGAAATCTGACCCAGTTCTTCTGGAAAAGCAGCCAGTGCTCTAACTGCTGAGCCATCTCTCCAGGCCCCATCTGCTTCTAAGCAGATCTTCCACTAACCTGACTTCAGCTCTCTTCAACACTTATATTCACAGGTGCCCCGAACAGCCAATCTCGGAACCTTTAGGACTCCATGATATATAATGCGGAGTGTCTTGGCTGTGTCATGGCTTTCTTATTCTCTACAACATGCTATGATAGTTAAGTCTGGTGAACGCTTCTGGAGCCTCCATTTTTATTCCTGTCACTTCCCCTGGAGTTTGTGCCTTCTTCACTTAATGCTTTTACTATCATCTGAATAAGGATTGGGGGATAACCACAAGTAAAGATATCTGATCAGTTTTTTTTAAACTATGAATTACATGGAAGAAAAGCTCACCGATAGGGTAATGGTAGGCCAAGCTGGTGATGTCGTTATACAAACTGACAGCTGACACTGAAGTGACGGAATTCTAACTGCTGAAAGGTATAAAATGTTTGGGGGCTGGAGAGACGGCTCGGCAGTTAAGAGTGTTGGCTGCTCTTCCAGAGAACCAGGGTTCAATTCCCAGCACCCACATGGCAGCTCACAACTGTCTTTAACTCCAGTTCAAGGGGATCTGGCATCCTCACATAGATATACATACAGGCAAAAACCAATGCACATAAAAAACAAATCTTTTTTAAAAAAGTCTCTCTCTAGAACGTCCATATCCCAATCATGTCACGTTAATTACACGCATTTTCTTTTCCAGGAAGAGTTAAATACATCATCACATAAGGGCAGGTCACTAACCTCTGCTTCAGCTGCTTGGGACTGTAAAAGCTGTCGTACACGAAGTATGTCCTTCTCTATTTGCTGAATTCTGGCTATTCTTCGCTAAAATCAGAGAAGAGAACAAATCAGATATTCATTTCTTTTTTATGTGTCTTCGTGCGCATGCATGTGTGGGTACCTGTGGAGCTGCCTGACAGGGGTGCTGGGAACCAAACTTGGGTTCTCTGGACGAGCAGCAAGCTCTTTTAACCAGAGTCATTTCTCCGGTCCTAAGAATTCACTGGTGAGTACAAAGAAAACGGATCTGGTAAACTGCAGAGATAGCAGTGGACACAGCCGCGACAGAGCAGTTTGCCTTTATTATTTAATTATGTATTTATGTGTGGTTTGTGCACATGCAAGTAGGTCCCCTGGAACTGGAGTTACAGGTGGTTGTGAGCCATATGATGTGGGTGTTGGAAAATGAACTTGGGTCCTCTGCAAGAGCAGTACGTGCTCTTAACTAATAGTCCATCTCCTCATCCCTAATATCTTTATGAAAAACATTAGTGTAAATAATCATTACAGCTACCACCTATCAGCTTAGGGTTATACCAAAACATTTTCATGTACACAGTTACATGTGTAACACATTTACACATTAATGACTATTGGGGTCAGTTTGGGTTTTTAAATACATTGAATTTTGTGTAATAGATCTCTAAGTATGTCTAGCAAAACTACAAAAATTATGTATCAAATTGTGTAGTACATGTACTATGAAAACTGATATTTAAGTTATTTTTAAGAATAAATGATAGACCACAACTTAAATGAATGTAGTGCCAGATCCAGCGTAAAGTAAGAACAACGACCAGCACATATCTTAACAAAATGGCCAAAAGGAAGTCAAATTCATCTCTCTTCTGGGATATAGATCAGAAGCCCTGGGATATATCTATTTACATCTGTGTACAACAAGAATTGTCATGTCTGTTATGTCATGTTCTCAAGGATCTCTAAAAACAGGAAGAGAAAAAAATAATGCATCGTTACAGTCTAAGAATGAAAATTTACATAAAGCCAATGAATATTTCTCATAGTGTTTTTTTTTGGAAAGAAATCTGTTTGACATTTAAAAAATAATTTTATGAAAATTTCAACTTTAAATATAAATTAAATAGAATACATTTTTGGAAACTGGTTATAGGTTCTTGATTTTAATTCTTAGTTCTGACAGTAACTATCTTTTTCTAGTTTATGATGTGCTTGTCATTATCCTGATGGTTCCTGATGAAGACAAATTCTTTTTTTTTTTTTTCTTCCGAGACAGGGTTTCTCTGTGTAGCTTTGCGCCTTTCCTGGAACTCACTTGGTAGCCCAGGCTGGCCTTGAACTCACAGAGATCCGCCTGGCTCTGCCTCCCGAGTGCTGGGATTAAAGGCGTGCGCCACCACCGCCCGGCTGCGCCACCACCGCCCGGCGAAGACAAATTCTTAATTTTAATCAGTAAAATTCATCAGCCTTATTTTTTATAATCTTGTCTTGTTTAAGAAATTCTTTTTTATACAGTATCAGAGATATGTTCATGTATATTTTTAGCCAAAAAATGAAAGTTTTATCTTTGACATTTCAGTCATTAGTCTATCTGAATGCAATGTGGGTAGGAAGGCAAGAACTACATATACTAATTGTAACCTGATAACTAACAGATAGAGAAATACATATATGCATATGTATATGCACATGAACTTTAGTTATCTCCCCAACTAGTTGTGCAACTAATCAACTATGAAATGTGTTATGTTACAGGTGTTAAGTATTACCTCAGATATAATCATATTCTAACATAAATCCCACCCCTAACCAAGAAGTTATTTGCAATTGTGGCTGCTGGGAGAGGGCTGAACAGTTTTCTTCAATAGAGAGACACTGGGTACATCAGACACATCCCAGGGCAGGCCACATGCTCGGGAATAACTAGTTAAGACCCGAAAGAAATGGCTCTATGGCTTTCCCCCTTTTTGGTTTTATTTTTAAGAAAGAGAGAATATGAAGTGGATCTTGGAGGAGTTGAAGGAGACCAAAATATACTGTATAAAAAAAACTTAAAGGCAAAATCAACTTTACAGAATACTAGTATGTATTTATACCATCATACAAATATTAATTGGTCCTATTAGTTGCTATTTAAATACAATCTTTGGATGTTCTTCCAATATGTCTTAAAAGTTTTTTAGACAAGCCAAAACAAGCAATTCCCTCTGCTCACATTGGAGCAGACAAGAGAGTAGTAAAAGCCTTTACAGGGCTAGGACACTAGGCAGTCACACATCTGTGTGCACACGGAAGTGCTCAACAATAAGATCAGTTGATGTTCTTCTGACTCGAGTGGGGTTTATTCTCATCCTCACCCCATGTTGTCTTCCCTGAGGGTTTCTTCACGTCTCCTTTGGTTCTCAAACAGGGAGTGCTGCTGCCTCTATTCTGAGTTTTTGAAAAACTTCTGAATATTACCACAGAAACTTAGATTACAAAAAAATAACAATCTCAAAGCAGCTGAAGTGAGTAACTGCCTGCCAGGAAATCAGCATCTCCCCTGTGATTCTATGCAGAAAGAATAATACCCAAATGATATATGGCAGAGTTCTGTCAATACTGGTTACCATGCCCAACAGTCATGAGAAACTGTGATCTTGAAAGAGTGCTGACATAAGACAGGTTTGAAGGTTTTTCCTTCATGATGCTGGAGGATGGGCTGATGGCCTTGTACCTGTGAGGCAAGTGCTCCATTAGTCAACTATACCCTGGCTGCACAGATGCTGTAATAAAGGAGTTTAAGCAGCAGCAGCAGCATCGGAGCTGTGATGTGTGCAGTAAAGGAATACACCATTCACCTGTGCTCGCTTCTCCATGTCCTGGCAGGTGCCAAGCTGCTCCTCCATTGCAGCCCTGATCTGCCTTGCTTCATATTCCAGTTGTCTTCTTGTCATATCTGTTTGTAAGGAAAACTAAAAGCACAAATAACATATTAATTTCTCATTGTTTATTATTAAAACCAAAAAGCACACAAATGTCAATTAAAAACTGAGTAAGTAATGTAAGTCACTATACTTGGGAAATCTATTTTGTTCTCCAAGGAATCCTGAGTATGGGCACTAGGCTTAGCTGGCGTCCCTAATAAGATTCAGAGCTGCCTCAAAGTCAAAAAAATAGCTTTAACTTAAACTGTTTCATTGAAAATATGCAACTGGTCCAATTAAGGTAGGCCTAACTTCTGTCCCCCTAGGATCTTTCATCTGCTGAAGGGGCACCTAATTAGTTGATTTTTGTGGTCCTGGGGGTCAACCAGAACCTTGTGCATACTAGACAAACACAGTACCACTTAAGTACACTCCCACAGCCCTGAGGAACTACTTTCAATTATTAAAACTAATATTCTGGACAGCAGATGTAGCTCAGTTAGCAGAGTACCTACATACCATGTGCATATAAACTGAGGTGTGTCAGCACAGACCTGTAATCCCAGCCCTCAGCAAGGAGAGGCAAAGAGATCAGAGGTTCAAAGTCATCCTTGTCTGCACGAGGAGCTCAAGAGAACTGGGCTACATGAGACTCTGTCTCAAACAAATATAAAACAAAATCCAAAACTAGTATATTATCATGGACAACATGGGGGGAGAATCAAAGACAGGTGTTCATTACCCTTAACTTTTGATTTTAGGTAAGGATTAATTGCCTTTGTGTACAGGTTAAATAGAGGAAAAAAATTTCCATTTTCAGAATGAAGAAAATGGAGTAAGAAAAAAGCCTATATCTAAAATAAACATTAATAGCCAGACAAAATCACACAGACTTTGGTAAGTACTTCACAAAGAGGGTGTAAACCCATCACTGGTCCTCTCACTGAGATAATGGCCAGGCATACAAAAGGATAAGAAAGAGGAAGAATATGAAGTGATTAAAACCAAACAAACAGAGAGACATTGGGAGCCATGGCGAGAATGAGGAAATGCTGTGGACTGTTCACCCTCCTCATGCTGTGTGGAGGGCCTGCTCCACATATGTCTGCCGAGCACTGCAAACAGCTGTCATTTGAAGTTACCCTCAAACAAAACACTCTCGTGCAGAAGGCATTCTCGTAGGCACAACCAAGTGAGGACACACGACAATGAACCGGTCTGCACGTTATCTACTGATTCAGAGACAAGGTCTCACTATGCAGCCTTGGCTGGCCTGAAGCTACTACAAGGACCAGGCTGGACTTGAACTCACAGAAACCTGCCTACCTCTGTCTTCTGAGTGTTGGGCCGAGTACTACCATGCTGCACTGAATGTCATTTCTTACTCTCTTTGAGTTTATATTGTTATTTCTCTAATTTGTCCTCCATTTCCCAACCATTCCCGCAAAAATAAAAACACTGAATGTGATATAGCATGTTATAATAATATGGTTTCGAGTTGGTAAGTGGCATGATATTTTGATAAACGGAAAAATATTTCCACATGGAAGTGCTTGTTAACTTGTTTTCCCAATAAGAAAGCAAAGTATAGTAAATGCTTATAAAAGACAATCAAGTTTAAATTTACTAATGTTACTAACAGTCCATAATGACTGTGCATTCTATCTTGCATATTCTATCAAACATGATTACGTAATGAATTGGACAACTGACCTTTATTTCCAATAGTAACCCACTGCTCCTGAGATGTAAAATATCCTGACAACAGGGCTCTGGATTTTGTATATTCTCCCATCATAGTCGACAATAATAAAACCATGCTGTGCTATCTTTACTCATGAAATTTAAAATCTCACCAAACCCTCTGGATGCCTTCATCTTCATTCATCAGATACCCCCAGTAGCCGTCCTTCCCTGTTTGTGATGTCTTAGTGGCCGGGAGAGTCTGAAGGGCACTGCAGGAAGATGGCCCTTCTCGTCCTCCCAGGACCCGGACTGCTCTAGGACAGCGAGCACTTTAAGCCTGGAGTTCTAGCTCGTATACTCAGGAAACCCAGGTAAAAATTCTGGAAGGCTCTTCTTCCGTTTTCACTTTGTGTCTACTGTGTTCTCTCAAAACTGTTCTGAGGAAGTTAACGTGGAAGCCAAGAACACAGGGTATACTGAGACAGTGTCTTACTGCGGCCCAGGCTGGCTTGGCTTCACAACCATCCTCAGGGTCAGCATCTGGAGTACTGCGGTTATGAGCATGAGTCACACCCTTGTCTTATTTCCCCTTTTTAAATATCACATAAAATATTGATGAAACATACAGCCTTGAGATCCTTAATGTAGTTCAGAAGCTTTTTTTTTCTTCTATTTTTAGACAGGACCTCATGTATCCCAGACGGGCCTCAAATTACTATACAGCTGAAGATGACCTTCAATTCATTTTTTAAAAAGACTTTTTATTTTTATTTTCCATGCATGAGTGTTTTGCCTGCATGTATATATGTACGGCATGGCACAAAGGCCAGAAGAGGGTGTCAGGTCTCTGAGGACTGGAGTTCTGGAGGGCTGTGAATTCCCATGTGGGTGCTGGGAAGCCAATCCAGGCCCTCCAGCAGAGCTCCTAGTGAGTACTGCTAGCTGCTGAGCCTTCACTCGAGCTCGAAGATTTGGACTTCTGACACCAGCGCCTCGAATGCCTGAGTGTTAAGATTACATGTGGGGCCGGGCGGTGGTGGCGCACGCCTTTAATCCCAGCACTCGGGAGGCAGAGCCAGGCGGATCTCTGTGAGTTCGAGGCCAGCCTGGTCTACAGAGTGAGATCCAGGAAAGGCGCAAAGCTACACAGAGAAACCCTGTCTCGAAAAACCAAAAAATAAAAATAAAAAATAAGATTACATGTGGGGAACAGAGGAAGGCCTGAGTATGCAAAGTCCTGAGCAGATGTGTGTTGTTAACGTGGGCACGGCTATGTCAAGGGCCCCACAGCCTCAGAGCCATGAGAAAGGGCAAAGTCTTCCCTCCTGGTCTGAGTGTGAATGCTCACCACAGCTTTCTCCCTCTGGATGTTTATGGCCTGAAGACTGCTCCCCTACAGAAACTGCTCCTATTCAACCTGCCTTCTTGCTAATGTTCTGACTTCACCTCCTTGTTTAACATTACATAACAAACATGCTGAGTTTCCAGGGTGCTGTTCCTCCATCAGAGAACCAGCCCACCATTTCTGTGTGTCCATGTGTGTTTGTTTTTCTTCATTCACCCACTGCCTCAGTCAGGCCTCTCTCTGGAGCTGTGCTGGACACAGCCATTACAGGCACATACACCATATACATTTTATGAGGTGCTTGGGGTTGACCCAGAGCTATGTGCATGCTGGGAAATAGAGATGTACCCCAACTCTGAGAAACATCTTTAATATAGGTTATCCCACGAGTAAAAGTTAACACAGTGAGGGACAAGCCTACAGGATTTTTTTTTTTTTAACATTTATTTGTGTGTATGTGCACATGCACTAATGCATGTGCTCGGCACAGCACGAATGTGGAAGTCAGGAGACAATTTGTAGAAGTTAGTTTTCTCCTACCACCAGATGTATTCCTGGGACTGAACTCAGGCTGCCATCCTGGCATAAGCCCCTATACTTGGGGAGCCATCTCACTGGTCTCCGTTTAAAAAATTCTGAACATGGTGTATTTGCTAAAGGGATTCTAGATTCACACAAAAACAGGAAGATCCATGACTTGGCATTTATACCTAGATAGAGTAGGATTCAAATTATCTTCAAGGATATTTAATTGTAAAAACTATCTGGCATGATTCCTGCATTGTACAGAAAATCCAAGCAGATGGTATAACGTTTCTACCAATTAAAAATATAGTTGTCTAGTGGAATCTGGATTCAAACTCATAGGGAATTAAAATAAATATCTGTTGGTACACAATAAACTTTTATCTTCTATTAAAAACTAATTAACAAGCTGGTATGGTGATGCAGGCCTGTAATCCCAGTACTTGGGAGGATCAGGTTCTCTTCAGCTACATATTAAGTCTGAAGTCAGCCCTTGGCCACAAGAGACCCTGTGTCAAAACCAGATACAAAATCCCACAAAGACAAACAAAACAAAAACAAGAAATGCTTACTAACCATTATATATTTAGGTTAATAGCTAATTAAAACACATTACATTTTATAAACCATTACAGATGCAGTTATCTCAGATTCCTCATAGATAACCTGAGTACTTTTAAAGAGCAAGTTACTTAATCTAAGTTGTGCTGCCCAGGTACTTACGTTCTCAGTTAAAGGCAGGCTATCTATTCTTTTTGTGAGGTTCTGAAGTTGAGCATAATACCAGTCTTTTTCCTTTTCTTCTTTGTCAAGATCAGCAAGGAGTAATGATCTATGTTTAAAAGAAAGGTAAATTCAGTCCACACAAGCTACTGCATGTTCCTAAGACTAACTCTCCAGTTGTTACTGTAAAACTATAGTGAGCCAGTGTGAACATCAGTAAAAACCTTACTGACATGGATTCTGTGGTAGGACTTACGGTATTATATTCACTGACAGGAGTACCAAGTGTGTTCCTTCCCTGAAAAGACGGTTCTCAACCTGACCAGTAACATGCTTCAACCAAAGGCTTTCTTCCGTACAGTCAAGAGGAAAGTGAACGGTGTGGACAGAACAGAATTCAAAGCCAGTAGAAGAATAAACACTATGCTACAGGGGTTGAGGCAGCAGCAATGATGCTGGGAAAAGCGAGAAGCCACAGCCTGGGACCTGATGTCAGCTGCTGAGCAACAACATCGGGAGTAAACGTCTCAGTTGCACTTGGAGGAAGCTGCTCTGCAGGAGAGAGACTTAGCTTGGAATCGGAAGATGAATTTATGTAATTCCTGAAGAACAAGTTCCACCATACACCTGGCCATTATAAATATAAACATGCAACGAAATACTGTTACTGAGATAAAACTCAATAGGACTAAAAAGTACAAGCTCCTTGTTGTTTTGTGTGGCTCTTTTCCCAAAGCAATGGTGTTGTAATATTCTTGTGTTGTTTCCAGAGGTTTTCTATAAAGATGCACAGAATAATGTGCATGATTACATGTATGTTTAAAAACATAAATACTCTATTATTAGCATATACGTTGTCCTATACATTTTTCACTTAAAAAATCTACCTTGGGGATCATTCCATATGAGAACAAAGAACCTACTACGTACTCCTTGATAGCTGCCTAACATTCCATGTATCTCACAATACTGATGAGCCCATAAAGGAGATATACTATGGTCAGTTCTTTACTGGGGAGCACTTAGGGCCTTTTAAATAATCTATTAACATAAATATTACCGGAATGTTTTTGTGTACTTTACTCCATACATGTTCAAACATGCACACAAGATAAATTCTAAGGGCACATGCATTTTAACTTACTGTTCTAATAAGGTGTTATACTAATTGTATAACCTACAATTTTCATGAATTTAAGTGTATGACATAACTTTTTTGTGTGTGGGGGTTGTTTTTTTTTCCCCCAAGACAGAGTTTCTCTGTGTAACCACCCAGATTGTCCTGGAACTCCCTTTGTAGACCAGGTTGGCCTCGAACTCACACCACCTGCCTCTGCCTCCCAAGTGCTGAGATTAAAGGCGTGTACCACTACGCCGAGCTATGACACATCTTTTAAAGTCTTACATATCTGAATTTACAAACCTCCAGGATATCACCATGACTTTAATTATTTCTCTTGATGTGCATGAGACTAAGGGTTTTACTGAGTCTGCAAACCTCCCTTCTCTGTGGCTGCTCCTCACCTTGAGGACTTCTACATGGGATGCAGGACTCAGTCACTACTCTGTGGCTGCTCCTCACCTTGAGGACTTCTACATGGGATGCAGGACTCAGTCACTACTCTGTGGCTGCTCCTCACCTTGAGGACTTCTACATGGGATGCAGGACTCAGTCACTACTCTGGCTGCTCCTCGCTCTGAGGACTTCTACATGGGATGGCAGGACTCAGTCACTACTCTGGCTGCTCCTCACTCTGAGGACTTCTATATGGGATGGCAGGACTCAGTCACTACTCTGTGGCTGCTCCTCACTCTGAGGACTTCTACACGGGATGCAGGACTCAGTCACTACTCTGTGGCTGCTCCTCACCTTGAGGACTTCTACATGGGATGCAGGACTCAGTCACTGGGTTGCATATGCATTTTTTCAATTTATCACAATTTATATTATCTTATAATAGTTTCATCATTTGGAAAATTTGGATTTTCATGTAGTCAGACCTGTGAATATTTTCTATTATGGGATCTGGAATTTGGCCACACACAATGATGCTTCCCACTCTGATGATACATTATTTTAAAATTCTGTTTGGTGTTTCCTTGAGAAACATTCGTAACAAGTACAAAAGTGTGTAGAAGGTTTTATTCTTGCTAAGACCACCTTTCCTGAGAAACCATTTCAAAGATAAGCACCCTTAATCACAAGAAAATAAATCGGTAGGAACTGGTAAGAGACAAATGAGGCCAAAGCAGGAGCCCAGAGCCTTTCCCCGAGGATCAGAGAAGCTGAGATAAAAGGAGCATTTTTATGGCAAACCTGCATACTAACAGCTGCTAGGCTTACGAGTACCTGCAGTAAAAGCCAGTTTAAACATTGCTTTCTCTAAAACTCTGTTAATAATATTAGTACCAAAGTCAGTTCCTAGGAAGGTCGGTATGCTCACGCGTAACGAAAGGGAACAAAGACGTGGGAGACCGTGGCCCTAGTTCTCTCCTTCTGGACCAGGTCAGGGTTTGGGTCACCCAGGTTCAGGGTAGAAATAAAGAGCTAAGTACCCTCCTCGTCCACATAGCCAGCCTGACTTTTACAGGCCTCTCTCTCTCAGGGAAACATGCTGCATTCCTTCCTATATATAATTATCACAATATGTTTTTATTTTATGTATATGTGCGTGTTCCTGAGCGTATGTGCACCACATGTATCCAGGAGCCTATGGAGGTCAGAGGAGGAGTTGTAGCCCCTGGAACTGGAGTTATAGCCAGTGTAATCTGCCATGTGAGTGCTGGGAACTGACCTGGGTCTTCTGCAAGTCTCTAAGTGTTCTTAACAGCTGAGCCATCTCTCCCAGGCCCTGTGTTCTATATATAAAATCTTAATATTCAGTTTTCATAAGCATCATATCAGTGTTTTACAGAAGAACTTGACATAAAATTTGTTGACTTGCCTAAGGTCATAAAGCTATTATATACCATACATGTTACCATTTGAAGGTCTATCTAACTTTTAGGTAGACAAAGATAAGGTACCATCTGGACATTAAGAGTCCTAAAATACCCAGGTCAGGCATGGTAGTGCACGCCTTTAATCCCAGCACTCGCTGGCAGAGGCAGGTGGATCTCTGTGAGTTCGAGAACAGCCTGGTCTATACAGTGAGTTCCAGGGCAGCACAGAGAAACTCTGTCTGGGGTTGGGGGTGTGGGGAAAAGTAGGAAAATAAAAAGATATTTAAAACAGAAAATGCTCTATAGGAGCAGGCTGTATCACCTGACATCCAACCCTCCTCTGTATCTTATATTACAAAACATCATCAAGGTGCATCCATGCACATACAGTACTTAATACATAAGGAACAGATGTTACCTTTCTTTTTCAAGCTCTTCCAAATATCCAGTACTTTCTCTGCTTCCATTTACAAATGCTCTTCTTGGGAATGACCCCATGGGAACAGGACTGCATTCTCCTGAACGGCTTGATACCGATCCTTCCCGACTTCCATAGGAGCGAAGGGACATTTTTGAGTGTAGTTTCACTCCAGGGAAATTGCTGTCTAAGTTAAATTCTAAGCAGAGACAAATTCGTATGTAGTAACTGCTTTATGTCATGTAAAACATTCCTAAAGCTATTACATTATTTTAAAAGTGAAGTCTCAGGTTCATATTTTAACTATAAATATACGTGACTGAATAAATAATTATTTAGAAGTTAAAAATTTCCCTGCAAGTCAGCTTGAGCAAGAAAAAAAGCATATTAAAGGAAATGACACAAAATGTCCATCCTCAGTTCCCTGTAGGCAATACTTAGGAACTCAAAAAGTAATTAGTCTAGTTTCAATTATTACTAAGCAGGGTCCCTGTCTGACACTGGAATTTTTAGGCAATACAGTAACAAAGACATTTGAAAACAGATTCTGTTAGAAACGGCATAGGAAAAGCTAGGCATCTCCATTCCAGATAGAACACAAAAAGACAATACCCCTGGAATGGACCTGCCACGGAGTCTTGTAAGACATGGCATACTGAAGCATGGTTAGTGACTGGTAGAATGCAATGCATTTTTAAAAAGAGCTCAGAATTTTCGAGGAGAAAACTTAAACTCGTACATTTAAAACCAATGACATGAAGCAGAAATAACAGGCAAACAGCACTTTTATCTATTTGCATTCAACAGCTACGACCAGCATGGAGATGGGAGAGGAAGCTGAGCCCAACACAGTATTTCAAAAGACTTAAAAACTGTACCTTTAAGACGCTCTAGTAAGTCAATCTGTCCAGAAGAAGTCATAGTTTCATCTTCAATACTTCCCTGTAGCTGTTTAAGTACTTCCTATTGAAAAGAGCACAGTACGTTAACATAAAATTCTAAGCAACTTCCTGAAGACTTTCCTGGCATTTAGATAGGACCAGGAAGAAAGTTATTCCAGTTCAGGGTGACAACATACCATAAGCTATAATGTACATTAAATATATTACCTACTACTCATTATGTTATATTCCGATAATAATAATAGCAGCATTTGTGATAACAGTGATTATGAGGAGCCTCCATGCAAGACACTTCATGGCACACTCAAAAGGAAGGTAAAGGGGGTGGTATGATCAAACGGCCTTATATGTATACATGAAAAGACATAATGAAACAAACCCATTATTCTGTACAATACAGACTAATAAAACACATTATCTGTTAATGTTTACAAAAGGTGGAATTGTCATCATTTTGAAAAGTTGACAGCCAACAGACTTGCTTGAGCCATCAACAAAAGGCTGTTTAGAACCCACACCTCTCGGGCCTGTACCTTCACGACCAGGACACAAGTCTGCTGTTCAGCACCGCAGCACACCTGAGCAGTCCTGGAGCACTCACCGACACTTGGCAGACACTCATGTAACTGCACGCTAGCTGCCCCTGCCCTGATGTCACGGTCTTCTTTCTCACACAAATGACTGCATAATTAACTTTTCTGTCCGGGGACCTGTAAGCCCTGTCTTTTCTTCGTGCTCCTTAGTAACTTACTTACACTTCCCATATACTGAAGCATGCCACTCTGGCTTCCTGCTTGGCCTTTCCAAATTTGATTTGGAAAATGCACTGAATGTCTGCAACCTTAAAACTAAAGGCAGTGTGACTGACTCTACGGGAAAGTCACCTGCAGAGGCCCTGAAAAGGAATCTGCTGCCGAAAAGAGCCTGTGCAGGAGGGCAGCCCCAGTGCTCTGCCTTCATCCTGCTGCTGAGCACTGAGAACAACCAACCTGTGGTCTGAGTAGGTTGGTACTGGAAAGACTTGGGTGTGAAGGTATGAGAGTGTCAGCACTGTGAGCATGAGGCCATACTCATATGAGGACAGCTCCCTCAGGGAGTGCAGAGCATGCCCAAGGTTAACTGTCAAGTGCAGGTCACTTCACCTCTTTCAGAGTTTGGAACTATCACCGTAGACTGCCTGTGATGTTTTCCCCCAGGGTTCTAATTCTCCTTCTATCCATGGCTATCACTTGGAACAGTCTTTTAAAAACCTTATCATCTTATGACAAGACGACCATAGCAGATACACAAAGTATGCAAAAAAGGATACCATTGAACATGTTAGCACAGAACCTCTGGTGAGAGAATTACAATTTTAATATGTTGGACAAGCTGGAGGTAAAGCTCGGTGGTAGCGTGCTTACTTAGGACACACAAGGCTCAAGGTTTGAGCATTAGTCCCTCCCCAAATTCCTATACAAACAGTTATTCTGATATTGCTCACATTTTCTAATCTTAAAACTGGTTCACATTCACAACTTGCAATAAAATTTTTTTTTTTTAATCTTTGAGGCAAGACTTAGACTTACAATCTGAATTTGAATCATGGAACCCACATGATAGAAAAAAACTGACTCTCACAAACTGTCCTCTGACTTTCATATGTACAACACACATGCATGCATGCACAGGAAAATAACTGAACAGAAAGTCTCTGTGGCTGGGCACAGTAGCGGTAGAACACCTTTTGTAGAGAATGTGTGTCGCCATAGGCTTCATTCTCAGGGCCAAAACCAAAGCCTCGGCACATCTGTTAGAAATACACCGATAAAAGCAACAATGTAAACAAAAAATGAGATGTAGGTTTTTGGGGTTTTTTTGTTTTTGTTTTTTTAGGGTTTTAAGAGTAGCAATTCTGAAAAGTATCAGCTTGTGCCAATTCACCTGTTATGCTACCTTTGTTAAGTGCTTTGGCTTCAGTAATGTCACTGGGTCAAGCTGGACATGCCAACTCACTCACACCCAGTTACTTTGCCTTAAGATGACAACATCGAGCGTGATTACGTTACTTACAGCTTGCAATGAATAGTTATGCCTACTTCCTAACAAAAATAACCCCACTTGTGTTTCTACTTTGAGGCTCAAGATAGACAGGTACAGACCTTCAGTCCTTGAGGGCTTACCCTTTCCAGCTTTGATCCCTCAAGTTCTTGCCAGTGTGCCTTCAGTCCCAGAAAGAAGCATCATGCTGGAACTAGACTTTGAGTCTGTGTTTTCTACTTTAACATCATCGTCTGTAAGATGCCTCCATGGTACTGCATGTATTCATTCAGGTTTTTTTTTTTTTGTTGTTTTTTTTTTTTTTTTTGGTTTTTCGAGACAGGGTTTCTCTGTGTAGCTTTGCGCCTTTCCTGGATCTCGCTCTGTAGACTAGGCTGGCCTCGAACTCAGAGATCCGCCTGGCTCTGCCTCCCGAGTGCTGGGATTAAAGGCGTGCGCCACCACCGCCCGGCTCATTCAGGTTTTTTATTTGGTGAAGTCTAGAAGTCTATTATATGAACACACTATTGGTTTATTCTTTCTTCTCCTAACTGGACATTTGGATGGTACCAGTCTGAAGGCTACTATGAAGAATGCTAGTATGATCATTCTGTACAAGTATCTAGTGGGCATAAGCACTTATTTCTCTTGGGGTGATTTCAAGTTCAAATACTGAATCACAGGGTTTACCTTGAAACGAAACTGCTGTAGTGTTTTTTTTGTGTGTGTGTGTGTGTGTATGTGTTTAAAATTAGGCCCACCAGCAGTGTGTGAGCATTTCAATATTCCATAGTCACGTGAGCAGGAGTAAAATGATCTTTGTACTTCCCTGACGACAGGTGACAGTGAACTACTTTCCATTAGTGCACCTGGCCATTTATCTTTCTTTTTGAATTGTCTTTTGAATTCTTGAGGCCATGCTGCAAAACACTGGCTATTTAAGCCCACTTGCTGTCTATTCGTGTGTGTGAGAGGTATGCTTGTGGGGGCCAGGAGAATCCTGGGAGTCAGTTCTCTTCCTTTGTACTGAGGCAAGGGTAATTCTTCTTTCTGTTGCTGCTGAGCCAGGCAGTCCAGGCTAGCAGGGCCTCGAGCTTCTGGGAGATGCTTCTCCCGTCTCTGCTCCTCCTCTTACTGAGGAGTGCTGGGACTACAGCCTTTTCTTCTGCTTGTTCCACCAGTGCTTACTTACCCACTCCATCTCCCCAGCCCCCAGTTAGATCTTATTGTTTACAACCAAAGTCCTTTATAGATTTTGAAACAAGTTCCTTTGACAAATATATGTGCAGTGTGGTAAATGATTTTCCTTAGTCAATGATGGCCTGTTTTCATTTTCTTACTGAAGCCTTCTGGACGATGTAAGTTTTTAACTCTGATGAAGCCTGTATTGCCTAGTTTTATGTCAACTTGCACATGCTACACACATCAGAGAGGAGGGAGCCTCCACTGAGAAAAGGCCTCCGTAAGATCAGGCTATAGGCAGGCCTGTAGGTCATTTTCTTAATTAGTGATTGATGGGGGAGGGCCAAGCCCATGGTGGGTGGTGTCATCCCTGGGCAGCTGGTCCTGGGTTCTCTAAGAAAATGGGATGACCAAGCCACGAGAAGCAAGCCAGTAAGCAGCACTCCTTCACGGTCTCTGCATCAGCTCCTGTCTTCAGGTTCCTGCCCTGTCTTCCTTTGATGACAAACTGTGATTGGAAGTATAAGTCAAATGAACCCTTTCCTCCCCAAGCTGCTTTGGTTGTGGTGTTTCATCATAGAAATAGTCAACCTAACTAAGACAAGTTAGTACCAGGATAATGGGATATTGCTGTGACGGATCTGACCATGTTTTAGGGAGGCCCGTGGAAGGACTTTGGAACTTTGGGCTAGAAAAGCCATTGAGTGTCCACAGTTTGGTGAGCTGTTCTGTTGGAGCTTGGAAGCTAAGAATGCTGAGGGCAGTGCATTGTGAAGTTTCAGAGGGAAGTTTAAAGACTGTATCAGGGCCATTTGTTATTTTTAATTCTGTGGCTCTTGTTAGCTGGGGCTGCAGAATCAGCTGTGATTAGTAAGATACCAGAAACTACTTTGCTTTGCTGGGATACTGGATGCTGTTTAGCTAAGGCTGAGAAATTAGTGGTGACTAAGAAGAGCCCAGCAGGCAAAATCTGGGAAGTGTTCCTGAGAGTCAGAACATTTTTTATGGTAGATAAAATTCCCTGTCAAAATTTTATAGCATTTCTGGCACTTTATCAATTTTCAAGACATTATTATATTTATGTCAAGAATCTTTAACTCCAACACCTGGATTGCTTCTGTATTACCTCCTACTTTCTGTTTTCTTTTTTCTTTCTTTCTTTCTTTTTTTTTTTTTTTTTTTTTGGTTTTTTGAGACAGGGTTTCTCTGTGTAGCTTTGCGCCTTTCCTGGAACTCGATTTGGAGACCAGGTTGGCCTCGAACTCACAGAGATCCGCCTGGCTCTGCCTCCCGAGTGCTGGGATTAAAGGCGTGCGCCACCACCGCCCGGCACTTTCTGTTTTCTTGATTACCATTTTCTTATTTCTTAAAACTCGACAATATGCCAATGGTGTATCTATGAGAAAAAGGGGGACTTAAGATGAGTGTGTTCTTCTTACAGAACTTATCTTCCCCTGCTGGGGCTGCTCTCTCCCATCCTACCAGATACGAGGAGTGGTTTGAACTGATTCAGTTTTCAGGTCATTTCAGTATGATTTGGTTTCTTGAGTATGTCCTTTTTATTTAGACTGAAAATATGGAAGTCTGTTTCCTTGGCCTTTAACCTCCTACTCTATACAACTCCAAATCCGACCTGTGTCTTGGAAACGAGCCATGCCTGGCACAGCAGATGCATCCCTGAAACAGCTCACTATGGTTTTCCATCTCTGCTTTATTTTCTGATGGTTCTTACCTCTTTAGCACTAAAAATCCACCCCTTGGAGTTGAGGTTTTTAATCTAGTTCAAAAAGTTCAAAACCTGGCAGATATTAAGTTTCTCTCTCTGCAGCAAGTCCTGCAAGCTAGTATTAGGCCTTTTAT